AATAATTGTTCTTAGTAGTGACGTAATGACCAAAATTAGAAAATATTCATGTTTGAGATTGTTTTTGTCTTACATTTTCTATATTGTTATTGACGTTTAAAGAGAACAAAATATCCGGTTTTTTGTATTGATAACACTAAAGTTGTCAATAGATTCTAAATAAAAAATTGACTATACTTATTTGGTTTTCGCCTATATCTATATATTTATTGTAGATCGAACTCCGATCGGAGAATGAATGCTTTCGGTTCGAACTGAACATTAACTTGACGGCGGCGTTGAATTCATAAACTTTTAATAGTTACTTATTCTAATAATATCATCTTAAAATGAACGATGTAATTTTGCGCTACATTTTATGTTTTATCAATTACATTTGCTTGACGGTAGGACCTTATAAGTCTACCTGAACTTTTTTAATGAAATTTAGTTATTTGGCAAATTTTGTTTTTGGACTAGTAGGTAGGGACAGTCGCAAATAATAATATCAGAGACTTTTTGGCGGGAACGCGAGGAGTGAACTTGTGTGATTTGTTTTATTTTGTCTATATAGTGTTTCTTCAGGTTTAAATGTGTAATAACGGTGGTTTATTAACTGTTTAATATCTGTGAAAGTGCACAAATGTGGGAAAATGAAACAAAGCCGCTGGACGTAACTTCTCGGGATCCTCCAAAAAGTCCACTGAAAAAATCTTAGTAAATGACCACCATTTTACTGATATTATGTATATTTCATCCCATATCATCTCATTTCATTTCATCCCAACTGATTAATATCTCAAATTAATCATCTTCATTTCATTTCACTCTATAATATAATCTTTCATAAAAATATGAATATAAATTAAAATAAGACATGACTTAAAGCTCTCAGTTACCAGGTCATAAAAACCCTTAAAAAATAATAATATCAGAAACGTCCTTACTGAAATAATGAACGGCCTCTTATACCCACGTATCTGAGGCTTCATAGTAAAAGCAACCAAAGCAACAAATATGTGCCTAAAATGGGGGACGCAATAAATAATAAATTGTATTTACCGTGATATTTTATTTATAACTGTAACTAATACACAGGATGCGCCGACAACCGGAGTCAACTGATGTCCGAATTTAACTGGAGGTATCGTTGCAAAATCGGAACACTGTGGTTTAGCTCCTAGGCCACTGTATAATACTGATTGTTTTATTTAGTGGGTTGGCTTGTAAATAAAATGCTTTAAAACTATCTCCAGCTCACAATATGCTTATAAATATTATAAACTGGTGATATTTGCAAATTCAAATGTAAGAAACCCGGTTTCTATAAACAGGTACTGGGGAATCGTGAGACGAAAGCATGAAAAATTTAAATGCTATTATTTATTATGAAAAATGTATAATTCTACATTGCAGTAATTTGCAAATTAGCGGTCCTTGCCATACAGGCGGGCCTTCACCAGCTAGCTACCTTCGCCTAACATTTCAGATTCACAAATATGAACTGGCTAAAACAAACAGTCCTTAGGTTAGCAAATGAATTATATTGTTTACTTGCGTCAAAAAAAGTAATTTCTTCCCTTTTCGGCTCTTACACCCTGTTACACCCTTATTCACCATGTTACATACATACAATGAGCGACTCTAAGAATTGTAACTGAAGTGTACATTTTTTGTATTACCTATTGTATTTTGAACGCGCTGACGATTTGTCATGAGACCAACAAGGCGTTTATCGTGTAATCTTCAGCTTTAAAAAAAATAAAATAAAAATCTGCGAATTGATACTTACTCAATGGGATTACGCGTGTCGCATAATATATGTACATATTGCAATGTAATGATGTTGCAATTACTTTGTAGAGAACCCGGACTCTCAACGTATACAAGTTGATGCTTAAAATAACAGAGATGTTTCATGTAGCAACAAAAACAAGTTAGTTAAACTCTGCAGAGAAATTGTTTACATTGTTGCATGAAAAAGTATATCCGTTCTTACACACACCAATAATATATTTTTAGTAATTGATATAATGCATTTTTCCGTAAAATTTTTTATATACATTGCGCGGTGCATTTAAGTAATTTTGTAATGTTGAGATAATAAAAAACTCAAATAATTCTCACTTCTAAATTTTAATCTAAGTTTTATGTTTTAACTGGCGAAAACGCCCTATGTCGCATGGGTTATTCGTCAAGGGCGAACTCGAAGTATATGACAAAAATATTATTCGTTTTAAGTAAAACTTTACCGTACATATATATTATATATAGAAAATAAATTGTAATAAATCCTTTGTTGTTTAATCTGAAATGCATGAAACAATTTACCCGTTAAAGTAGAAGTATTTAACCGGCAGTGCCGGCATGACACCCTCTCCTGTTAATTTGCTATTTCATCTATTCATTATAGATCTATACTAATATTATAAAGCTGAAGAGTTTGTTTGTTTGAACGCCGTAATCGCAGGAACTACTGGTCCGATTTGAAAAATTATTTCAGTGTTAGATGGCCCATTTATTGAGGAAGGTTATATAACATCACGCCAAGACCAATACAAGCGGAGCACCAATAAAGAATGTTTCAAAATCAGAGTTTTTTCCCTTGTGAGAGCATCCGCTGCGTGCGCTCCAGAAACGGTTAAAGTTTCGCTAAAATAATGTATGACAGAATTGTTCCTCTTTAAAAGATCTAAAAAAAAGTCCGCGACAGCATATGTCTATATGTTAAGGTTGGCTACTATAGCGTTTTTTATGCTAACCAAATTTGTTCTAAAATAAAGCATTATTTGTGAACTATTCCACGCGGACGAAGTCGCGGGCAAAAGCTAGTATATGATAAGACAAAGTTAAGATAATTTACTAATTCAAGTTAAAGTAATGGAGATCGAGACCAACAATGGGCGGCTCGAGAATTTTGGCAATCCAAATCATCATAACCTGTACAAAATTACAAATGAATACACGATAATATTTTTCAGCTTAAAAGTTGAGATTTTTTTCGATTGCCCTCTTTTCTGTGTAGATATCTAATTTATCACCGTTGACTTTTGACCTGAGTACAACATTTATTAGTGACTAGCTGACCCGGCAGACTTCGTAGTGCCTCAATAAATAAAAGTCCTAAACTTTTGTACAAAAAATAAACTTAAAACAAACAAAAGGAATCCGTCCGACGGGGGACACATCAAAGAAAAAAACAAAATTGTTATTTTTATTTAATTCCGAGTATTTTCATATTTATCTAACTTTTAAACCTTCTCTGGACTTCCACAAATAATTCAAAACCAAAATTAGCCAAATCCGTCCAGCCGTTCTCGAGTTTTAGCGAGACTAACGAACAGCAATTCATTTTTATATATATAGTTACGTGATTGGCACCAATTCGACTGAGAGAAAAATCACCGAGAACCATCTTGACTTTACACATTCGAAATAATCAACTTTGAACATTTCTGTGTTCAGACTCTCGGTACTGGAAGAGGCCTGGAGAAACAAATAAAAAAGGCAGCTCATGAATCTAGAAATTATTATTCGGTAATTAGAGGTGGCTTTTAATTAGCAAGCACAGCTACTATCCGATTTGATATTGTCGTGTTATTGTTCATGTCAAAGAGGTCCTTTAGCACCAGCCTTAGCTTGTCTAAGCAGAATACTTTTTTTAGTTTTGGGGTTAATAAACCTGTTTCAAATTCTAAAATATTAAAATTTGAAAAATGAATTGCAAATTTTGATATAAAAAATCAAAAGACAAAACGTGTTTATTCTGCATATTCTTAGGCTAAATGAAGTGGGTGTTGAATTTGAAATAAAACAAATTATAATTTTCAATTACAATTAATATAATGCCAATAGATTTGAAAACAAATAACAACAGGTAAATATTATGAGTTGTGTTTTCATACATTTTATGTTACACGTTATTACCTAATTAGTTACACAATTAGACTTTGTCATAGAATTTTCTTAATTTTTTTATAATTTGCACCCAGGAATGACCTTAAACAGCTTTCGTCATTAGGCAACCACGAGCACTCTCTCAGAAACTCGTTAGAAATGCAGGTATGACTTGCTGTTAAAAAATAACTAAGTGCCCAGCTTTCTGCGATTTCCTTTAACGCATGACCGATACCTACGTATCATTCCCGATCCTGCGTAAAGAATGTAAAGCAATCGACGTCACCCAAAACACGTCATTCCGGATCCTCCCGGTCCACTAACGGTGCTTTTAGGTACCTCAAGCACCGGTCATTGTTCTCGTCGAACCCGTCGCTTGCGACGAAGGGCTCGGCGAGTAAATTAACCCACAGACACAGCCCACTGAGTTTCTTGCCAGATCTTCTCAGTGGGTTGCGTTTCCGTTCCGGTGGTAGATTCTGCGAAGTACGGCTCTTGCTAGGGTTCATGTTAGCAACGTCGTCAGGTTTAAGCCCCGTGAGCTCACCTACTAATTAAGGTTACGTTGAAAGAGCCTCTCAAGGCTAACAGCTTAGGAAGGAAAAAAAACGTATCTATGTCACAAGGGTTACTTACATTCACAAGTCATAGCTGTGTAGAACCGAGTCCAAAGCGAAACTTTTGCCCTGCGCTAAAAACCGACAAATGGACGGAAACACGTCTTAGCTGCTATTAGCGTTATTTTACTTATTAGTGCACAGAAACATTTCGCAATGAAAATAGTACATTGTGCACCAAGGGAGAAAAGTAGGACATTTCCTCCCGCGTGGAAAATTGCTAAACACGCGGGATGAGATGTCCTACTTTTTTCCCGCGGTGCACATACTATATTTTCTCCTACCAGGCCGAAAGTTCGTGGAGTACCGAGCCGGGTGGGTACCAGGGGCGAAGCCCCGGTGGAGGGTAGGAGGGGGGGGCAGAGCCCCATGCTCTTAAAAAAACAATTTAACTGTTTTTAAATTTTTGAATAAACTACTACTAATTGAATAAGAACTGTCTGATGAACTCATCTTTGTTTAATACTTCAATACTAAATTTTATTGCGTTTTGTTTATTTAATTTTTAGACTAAGCACAATATTGCAAATTAGCCGAGCACAACAATGGCGGAGAATTATAGGTGCGCGAGAGCAGACGTAGACACTAACGCGCATGCGCACTTATCAGTACCCAGTTAGGAAAAGGTACACTTTCTTCCCTGTACAGCGGGAGGACAACCGAACTTTCGGCGTAGATAGGAGAAAAAATAACAAATCTAACGTTATAAATCTGCTAAGTTATTTTACTCGTAGTAGGCGAGATGCACATGTGCAGTTATCGTCCGGACACATTGGCAACTGGCGGATGGTCGGTACAGCGACGACTGCCAGTTCTCCCTAGGCGAAAGATAGCGAAATGTGCCATGCACTGGCTTAGTACCGCACGACCTTACGCTCTCGCGAAAATGCTGGTCACATAAGTATTGATTAAGATTTCAAGCTTCGAAATGAAACAGCCGTATGATAAATAAACGAGCGAAAATTCGCTCGTTTATTTATCGTATATTCATATTATATGCTTCGAAAACATATTTTTATTTGACTATGGCGTTAATATCGTTACCATTATCGTACTTGAAAGTATTACGTTGTTACATTTTATAGTTTTTTAATCATTTATTAACTCGAAACATCAGTTATCCTATAGCTGTCCGATGTCATCTGATCACACTGAGCCTTCTAAGTCCGGTCTCGGCGGAGCGACCAATAATAAGGTAAATTCTGTTGCTGGCGAAGCCGGGCGACGTGGGGAACGCGTGTTGAAAGAGAATACGTCGTCGGACGCGCGGGCGCCGCACCAACCGCAGCGAGGCTCAGCGCCGCACGTCGCGTGGCAGGCGCGGCCGCAGTGCGTCGCCAGCACCGCCGCGTCACGCGACAGCTGCGCGCCGCACCGCACGCACCGCCCGCGCACAGCTCGGCCACGACCCGCCTTTCTCAGCGCTAGAGCTAGTGCTTCGTGAGCCTCTCTGCCCATTATCCTTGCCGCACATGCCCACCCGCTTCGTCTGCTGGCAGCGCAGGCCAGAATCGCCAAAGCTACTTCTGATGATTCGCAAGTTTTATCGACGGCTGCGTCGACGGGTAAATGTGCGACCGCCTCTAAAATGAGAGCGGGAGGCGCGAACTTTGCGTTTTTCAGTAACCGGGCCCACATGTCCGTGGCCACGGCCGGAGGAACGGTCGGCGTGACGCGGGTGCACAAGTCACCGGCTTCGAGTGCGTATCGCGTTGCCAAGATTCTATCGTCGGTGGAGGCGGCCAGGCGCAGCAGGACGTCGAGCGCGGCACTTGGGTCTCCGGCCGCCTCTAAACAGTGAGGTACCGCATCTTCTGGTCCGAGTTCCCGCACAATCGAAAGGGCTTCTTCAGGTCTGACTATGCCGACGTTTTCCCGTAAAAAATTCTGGACGTGGTCAGGACGAAGAATGCACAAGTTTCGAACGTGTACGGCGGCGGCATCGCCTTTGAGATGGCCACATGTTTTTAGAGACTCAGCAAATTCTACGGCTTCGACGTTCGCCAGTGAAGCAAGAACGGTTGCGATCGAATTCTCGAAAATCTCACCAAACAAGGCGGCGGCCGCCCGCGGTCTTAGTACGATCAGTCTTGATAGATACGGTTCGATCTGCTCTTTTGCTTCCGGCCCCGCGTTAACGCGACATCTCAGGTATTCATAAAGTTCATCAATGTCAACATCCGAGGGATCTTCTATTTTAAAAAATAAAGGGAGGACGGTTTGGTGTTGTGCTTGCAGTACATCGAGGCGGCAGAGTATGCGCGGGCGGTCGTGGAGCGCGGGGCGGCGCGGGGGCGCGCGCTGCAGCAGGGCGAGCCAGGCGCGGTCGGCGCGCTCCCCCCGCGTGGCGCGCGCCACTTCCTCCAACTCCTTTAACACCTCGGGGTCGTTCGGAAGGGCCCCGGAATTTAATTGACCGGTTAAAAATTCTAAAATTTCCGTTCTATCATCTGGATGCTGAAACATAAAAAAGTTTTTTTTTTATTGTTTAGACAGGTTAACGAGCTAAAACACAATCGACCTTATGTTGAGCGGCCACTAATTTACATAAATAAGAACAACGTAAAAACCGCCGCCCACCTAAAGACAGGTCTAATTCACAATTCTATAATATAATGACTTTCCCACCTAAATGGAGAACTAATTCAAGGAAAACTTACATTAAGTCAACATTCTGTTACTTTTAGAAACCTGTTACTTTAAAAAAAATGCACTATAAAAAATATAAAACACGTGTGGCATTCGGAGACTACCGCGGTAAAGCTATTGCATAGCATTTTTTATCAACTTATGCAATTATAAATCGACAATAATAATTTAATATTAAAACAACAGTAAAATAAGACCACGCTATATTTATAAACATTAACTGTCCCCTTCACACTAATAACCTAGACCGCGCGAGGGAGAGATGGGCAGACTTTTCATGATGTGCATGCGGCAGTACGACGTCACGCCGCGTGCTTATTCACGAACACTACACAAGCGCAAAGTGTGAATGTGTTGAACGCGAGCTACATAGTAGGCGTAGTGGGGGTGTCAAGTTATTTTCGTTACGGAATTTCTTGATTCAGTCGCCGCGCTCAAGGCCCGCGATAGAAGCTATGCAATAGCTTAAAAAACCTTAGCAATTGGGTAACGCCCTCTTCTCTAACGATATAACTTAAAAATCAGTAACAATACAGAAGAATATAATTTTTTGTTGATGTTCTGTTGAGTTTTGTATTCGAGAAGTCACTTGCTTGTGTAAATTAGGTGGGAATAAAAGATTACCGGTAAATCTTTGGCAAAGGCGAGGAGATGTCTTGCGACCCGCAGCCGGTTTTGTTTGGCGAGGGGTCCGGCGAAGGGAGGGTCGCGAGCGCTCTGCTCCAACAACCGCACCGCCGCGCTCCCGTCGTGCTCCGTCAGCACGCGCAGCGGGGACCGACCTCCCTCACCACCCTGGAGAAACCCCACAAATTACATCTATACATATACAATAAAATTGGAGTGTCTGTGTTTGTAATATTGAAATAACCGCTTTTTACTACATGCATATGAATATATATACGGTACATACATCAAAATAACATTTTTTACAATTTTTGTCTGTCTGTCTGTTTGTTCCGGCTAATCTCTGGAACGGCTGGACCGATTTTGACGGAACTTTCACTGACAGATAGCTGATGATACAAGGAATAACTTTGGCTATTTTTTTAGACTAGCTTCGCCTCGCGGCGTCACCCGCGATACAACAATAACCGCGGGTAACATCGCGGGACTCAACTATTCAATAGTAAAATTTAATGAGAACATCAATTTGGAAAATACGTACGTTAAAGTACTAATTGTAAGTTACAGTTTCAATTTAAAATTAAAGGTCCGCAATTCGTATTATTAATCATACCTAATACACAAATATTCATTTGTTTGCCCAAAAAGAAAATATGAAATGATAAAAAAAAATGGTGATTTCTATGTAAATTTGCATTTAGCGTGGGTCCCAAAGATTATTTGCTAACCATATTTGCTAACATTCCGCACAGCAATAAATATTTCTTCACCGATATTCTTGTTCTTTTTTTTTTTTTTTTTTGAGAATTTTACACAAAAACCATAAACAAAATAAAACAAAAAAAGCAAAAATTTTGTTGTTGTCTAGACAATACTGGGGTCATCCACTTACGCACACGACACGTCTTACTTCGTCGCGTTTAAACTGACAATTGATTCAGTAACTGAATTTAGAACAGTGTAATCAGAAGCTTCTAAATTTGCTTCTGAATTCAGTCGACTAAATTCAGCCAAATGTAATAAGCCTTTTAGCAAGATTCGAGCGGAATTCTTGGTAATGGACGCGCCTACAAAATTGTGTGAAGTGGGCGCGCGCGATCGCACGGCCGGTTGATTGCGGAATAAAATGTCGGCGCGCGCGCGCGTTCTGCGGCACGTACAGGGAAGGCACCGCTTCGTTCGTTAACAGCCTTAGAATTGCCAAATAAGGGTATATGAAAACGGTTATTGTTTGTAAAGAGGTCAGAGATAGAAATTGGTAAACCTCGTCGGAGAGCAGCGCGTGTAGAGCGTCGTGTCTTGCTGAAGGGCGCGCATGGGACGGGAGGTCCCGGCCGCCGGCCGCCCGGCCCGCCAGCGCGTCGGCCGCCGTCACCAGCAGCGCCGCGCCCGCACACTCGCAGCGCGCGCCGCACGAGCGCCGCGTGTGCGCGCACAGCTCCCGCATCGCGCCCGCACAACCACCTGCGACGCGGTACACTTCTTTATCAGTAACTAGCGACCCGCCCTCGCTTCGCTTCGGAAACTGTAATTTATTATTGTTTTCTCAACAATTTAATGTGTTTTTTAAAAAAAATGACTTGAAAAACTTGAATATTTCTCATATTTATGTTTAAATTTTAATTTAAATAGCATATTTAGCTAGTTAATTACATATTCTTTGATACCAGAGTAAATTTAAGAAATTTCATTTAATCCCAAAATTATATTTCCTGATCGTCACAGGGTCAATTTTTCTGAAAATCACCCATTAACTTTATTGTTTATTCAAAAAGACAGAAGATGGTCGAAATATCATTTTGCGTGACGCATTGTAGGCACACAGATCTCACCCAAAGCCGCGGCGATCGCACCTACACCGCGCCAAAGACCTTTCTCCCGTGTGAATACGCTCGCACGATGCGGGTCCAGAGACGTGAGGGGGAGAGAAGCCAGAACTCTCTCTACTAATTCTGGCTCAAACTCCGCCAGACGCTCAATCAGTGCCTAGAAATCACACTAATAATAACTCTTTTGATTTATGTCACAGTCAGATCCGACATTTCACCAGATTGTAAGGTTAAGGACAACATCCAAACTGTTATTACCACTATATATCCCTCCGCTATCTAACCCTCATTAATCTTAATTCTTTAACATGAATAAAAATTAATTACTGTAGGTTAGCGTGTACCTGTGTGCAATCTGGTGAGGGTGGTGCGACAGATAATTCATCGCGCACTATTGCATCCCCTAGCGCTTCAACGAATTCTTTTTCGCTAGAACATTGCTCCCACAGTTTTCCCCATAATTCCTCGCTGGAAACACAAAACAGTGCTAGATCGTTGAATTAAATTTAACACTTAAATTTATGAAAAATCGCAATGACGAAATCGAACTGATGAAAGTGGGATAAATGCAAATAACTTTCATGACATCAAACAAAGGAAAATGATAATATAAAATTATAAAATGTAATTTTACCCTCCAAAACGAAGAGTATGATTGTTTTAGGACTGAAATAGGTAGTGCAATAATTTTAATGTGAGCGGGCTCAAGGCACACCCACCAATAAATAAAAGTAATAATGATTAATCATTTTTATTGGTGGTAGGGCGTGTTGTGAGCCCGCACGGGTAGGTACCGCCACCTTGACAATTTTAGCCAAGAAGCTGCAATTGGTTTCGGTTTGGAGAGTGGGCAGCTCATGATGGGAGGCAGTATTTACATAGTTGATATCTATGGGCTCCGGTAAGCTGTGAGCTCGTACTCTCATCTAAGCAATAAAAAATATTACGTACTTCTAGATAGACATAATTACTCACTTTAATCCGAATTTCAGACATATTTTGACTGTTTGGTCGGCAATGTGTTTATTGCCTAATATATGGGGTCTGGCGCATATATTGTCAATAAATTGAGAAGCTATCGCTGTAGCTTCCGCTCCTTGTGTACCACATAACAGCCGCAGCCCTTGTAAATAGTGGCCAGACGTCAGAAATGCTTGTACTCTCGCTAGAAGATCGCGTGGTTTGACCCGCACCACACCTTTTCGGCCTAATAAAGATAGTGTACCATTTGCGATGGATGCTCCTCCCAGAGCATTGACGCCAGATGTACACAATGCTCTGGAAACACGTCCGTCTGTCCAATGACCCTACGGTATCAAAATTAAAAGATAAGTGACAAACTTCTTTTGTGTAGATGAGTGAGCAAGGTGATGTTATCATAGACCATAGGAATCACAAAGCCAACTAAATTATGATATATAATACCAGCCCGAGTTACTTGGGGATTGTGATTGTAAGATGGTAGCAACCCATGAGGACTTATCACAGGCCTTTCCACAGTTCTTCAGGACTCATTAGATTTCATTAGATCAGATCAGAATATGACTTAGTTAGACTTACTTTAAAAAATGCTGAAGCATAAACAGGTTCAATGTAAGATAAATCTAATGGTTTATCGTATTCATCTCCCCAAATTCGTAATTTCTCATCCGAATCAAGAATTGCCAGATTTCCTCCCAACCATCCGAGCCATAAAGGCGGCATTTTTAGCTCAGCCCGGTATAGCGGTCGTAATGATATAGACGACCCTGTAATGTGAACTGATAGCCATTGTAAAGTATTAGCGCGGGCGCAGATCAATATTCGGTTATCTGTCTCAGACCATTCTATAACAGGAAGAGTATCAGGAGGACCACTCAGTTTCACCCCTGCGGCGCAACCACCCGCTACAATTATTACACGTGAAAGTGTTGCGAGTGCTAATATACGCGCATCACGTGCTGACATGGCAACGACTTCTCCTCTAGCACCAGAAAATAAACAAGAAGTACGTGCTGAACGAACTCCTAACGGTCTTGAGAATTTGATCAACCAAACTGATCCACCCGTATCAAGCACAAGCCCTGAAGTACCTGCCCATGTTACTCTTAAAATACCCCATAATTCACCACCCAGAGTTAAACGCCTTAGTACTGTTCCTTTAATACTCTCATATTGACATATGAGCCCTCTTGCATATCCAGCAAGAAGCCGTGTACTATCCTTGTTGTAGGATAAACAAGAAACTGCACCAACGTCTGTATTCTGATCACACACCCATCTTAAAGTTTGTTCATAGAAAGAAAGGAGATGACCATGAGCTGTTCCTACAGTTAGTTTTCCCTCTGTGCCAGTACTTAAGACAGTAGCAAATCCTGTTGAAGACCTCTCCTGTAACCAAGCAACAAAACTGTTACATTAATGTAAAACAAAATATGATAATTAATTTTTGTAGTGTGTGCAAGCAAGTATATACTTTGTAGTACCTGTGCTTGTATAAGTTGTTGGGAGACTGCTTGTAAAAAATCAATCTGTAGTGGTGAACAAGAAACTGGTTCTTCTTTATTTTGTACATTTTTAATTTCTTCTTCTTCTGACACACACAAGACTTCAGCTAGTGTTGGTGCATCAATGGCAGGGAGAGCATATTCTATTTCATCTAGCTAAAATAATAAACAATCATTTCTTATATTTACATCTGTCACTTGTATTCATCCATTACTGTGTTCAAACATTACTGAAGTTGAACATTGTGCCACTTGATTGGAAACATAGCTCGCCTCCAAGCATTGTTGGATTAACAAATTATACAATATTTCGCCATACAATTCAGTTACAAGGCAGTTGCAAACTGATGTGGGTTCTCTCATTCATCAAATTTTCTATTTCATTTTGTAAAAATAGGCATCACACAGTTGTCTTAAAACTTAACATAATTTGGAAGGATATATAATATTATATTAATAATAATTTGGAGTTGAAGTGTACTACTGGGCTGGAGGCTTTTTCAGTTTCACCAGGGTAGGTGGGAGAGCAAAGGATCAGCCAGGAAGGAAAGGATTAGCTCACAGCTGCCCCAGCACCTTCAATGTGGACCTAATAACTCCAGAGCAGCTGCTTGGTGACTGAATCTAATACTGGATCAGAATCACAATCCGCTGAGAAGATCCAGCGAGAAACTCAGTGGGGTGATGTATGGGTATGTTTACCAGAGTCCCTAAGCCTACTTCTAGTATTAGAGCTGAAGGGGTCTAATGTAAGAGTTATTGGACTGAGGGATCTGTAAGGACGTGTACACAAGATAAGGAAGTCTCAATCATATCTTAGCCTATCAGTTGTTTGTTGTAACCAGCAGAACAAGAGTAAAAGTACTTGTTCAAATTACAGAGCCACTATAGCCACTTAGTTTAAGTTCAATCCGCCCATTTTATTTTTATTTTAGTTGTCTCTACTAAATGACATGTATTCTTTTGCTACAATAAAGATAGAATATTAGTATTTTATTCATTAGCATTCTGAATGCATTTCGAGTAATACAAAATACATAATTTATTTTGATTAAATAATTGCTGAATCTGCAAATTTTATTAAGTCACTATAAAAACTCACCTCTTCTATATCTAGATATTGAAGGCTTTCTACGGATTCTAAGTCAGAATCTAACAATGACTGAACAGACGGTGTTTTTAGTAGATCCATTTTAAAAACTGAACATTACAAGATAACAAATCATAGTATGAATTATAAATAATTCCGAACTCAGAGTCACAGTTTACGTCTGTGGTATTACTATTGAAATTTAATAATCAGTGACTACTGTTGTTACCCCGCACATGCGATGCAATAATCGACTTGGTGTATATTATAATGATAGTGATAATCAATGATTACATTTCATGTAAAATTAATAGGGTACCACGTAAATATATTAATTATAAGTGAATTCTTTATGGCTAAAATGACATTAAATAATTAGAGAAAAGAGAGACCTATTGTTTTTTAATACTAATCTAATGCCGGCCACTCACATGCGCGCAAATATTCGTACATTGTATGAATGTTTGCGCGCATGTGAAGGGCCGTCAATCATTCATTCGCAAACTTAGCGGCTGTGCAAATGGGTTCGGTACTCAATTTGCGAACCCGTTTGCGCTTCCTCCTTGTAATAAGAGAAAACCTTTACTGAATATAAGGTTTTAATAAGCTAAAATTAACAGTAAAATTTGCTTTGATTACATTAGATATATTGACAAATAACGAATAAAACAGATTGACAATGACGTCAACTTATGGCTAATAATTTCAACTATGAAGTTTACATCACTCCTACACTTGTTTACGAATGTCTCACGAATTTCTCCTCCTTTTTAATTCGTCAATAGAACATTGAAGAGAAAAAGAGTTTTGAATTCTTTCCCAGACATCATTAATACCGGTCACTCACATTCGCACGAATACGCAAACCCGCAAGTGTAGGACGACATTTTCAAATGATTATGCAAAGTTTTCGCTGCATTCGTGGTTTTACAAGCTGTTTCGGTTTTTTAACAGATATAAAAGCGTGCGAACCGCGATCCTTCGCGTAGTCTCCCACACATTCGTGTGACCACTTGCGCTCAGGATTGCGAAGGCAACGGATGTTTCGCTATTTTCATAGATCGCGACGTCTACTGTATAGCGTATCTTCATCGAAAGAAATCCCATAAAAACAGCATGGCTGTTAATGATGTCTGGGAAAGAATTCAAAACTCTTTTTCTCTTCAATGTTCTATTGACGAATTAAAAAGGAGGAGAAATTCGTGAGACATTCGTAATAAAGTGTACGAGGAAGCGCAAACGGGTTCGCAAATTGAGTACCGAACCCATTTGCACAGCCATTAATGAATGTTTGACGGCCCTTCACATGCGCGTGTGAAGAGTGCACAGTGGCCGGCATAACAGCCATGCTGTTTTTATGGGATTTCTTTTGATGAAGATACGCTACACAGTAGACGTCACGATCTATGAAAATAGCGAAACGTCCGTTGCCTTCGCAATCCTGGGCGCAACTGGTCACACGAATGTGTGGGAGACTATGCGAAGGTTCGCGGTTCGCGCGCTTTGATGTCTGTTAAAAAAACTGACACAGCTTGGAAAACCACGAATGCAGCGAAAGCTTTGCATAATCATTTGCAAATGTCGTCCTACACATGCGGGTTTGCGTACTCTTGCGAATGTGAGTGACCGGTGTAATACCTCACAACCATAGATTATACACTTAATATATAATTAGTTTAATATGTACCGATGACCCTAAATATTAGGTGTATTATCTATACCCATGTTAATAAGTATTCCATGACAGGACTTTTTGGCGGGAACGCGAGGAGTGAAGTTTGTGTGATTTGCTTTAATTTGTCAATTTAGTGTTTCTTCGGGTTTAAATGTGTAATAACGGTGGTATAACTGTTTCATATCTGTGAAAGTGCACAAATGTGGGAAAATGAAACAAGGCCGCTGGACGTAACTTCCCGGGATTCTCCAAAAAGTCCACTGAAAAAATATCAGTAAATTACCACCATTTTACTGAGATTATATTTCATCCCATATCATCTCATCGCATCTCGTTTAGTTTCATCCCAGTTGATTAATGTCACAAATCAGTTGTCTTCGTTTCATTTCATTTCACTCCATATTATCATTTTTCATAAAAATAAGAGCATAAATTAAAATGAGACGACTTAAGGGTCTTAGTTACCAGATCATAAAATCTCTTTAAAAATATTTTTTTCCACGACAGCTTTAGATAATTGACAGTAGTGGTATTCCATTTTTCCAAGTGAAAAGGCGAAGGTATCACACCATACAGCTTAACCTTTTGTTTGTATATTCTGGGAGCGAAGTGAAATGTAATTGATTCATTTGAGACATTAATCAATTGAGATGGTTAGACGTCTTGTGAGACTGCACGGGTAGATACCACTACCCTGCTTATTTTAGGGTAATTAAGCAGTAATGAATTTCGGTTTGAAGGATGGGGCAGCCGTTGGTACTGTAACAACTGAGACTTTAGAACTCATAACTTAAGAGCATTTCCCAAAATGTTTGACCGTCGTTTTAAAAATCTACTTAAAATATAATATGTATATTTAGGACATATTATGTTAAATACAGTAAGCTAAATCTAGACAGATTCTGAATTTCCGATTGATTTTTTGTTTGAGCTTGTACGTTATCGTACACCTTAGGACCCTACATTGACTGCTTCAGATCGACACGAATAATCGCCACTAGACGGGCATACGGCATCTTATAGAATTTCAAGAAATCTTATAAGATTGATAAACCCGTCCAACCCGGGTTGACGTCACTCGCCTTATTGACACGTGTGACGTGCTGCGTACCCAACAGCTGGTAGTTTTCATACAAAAAACCTGTAAAATATTAGTTAAGGACGAAATAAAAGTTCTTATTTTGTTACTTAGAAATGAGTGAAAACCGTAAAGAAACACGCAGACTGTATTATAAATTTGTTTTTCTATTAGATCATAGATTAAACAACACCTTGAAAAAGGTAAAATTGCGAAAAATTTAATAAATTAAATTGTTTTATCAGTACTGAATATTTTTTGTTACCATTTAAACACTTTCTAATCAAAATTTTTAGTTTTCCTATGAGATAAAAAAAGAAGGATGCTATATTTCCTATTTATAATAATAATTTAATAATATTGATCATGAAGTTGTTTTACATGATTATAGCGTTTCAATTTAAAGAAAAATAATTATCAGCATAATTTTGGGACAGTAACAAAACAAGGAGCTTGGGTAAAAAAGTTGGAAATGTAAGGCTAGCATTCACACTATGACACACATTGACATTATCATAAAATGAAAACAAAATAAGTAAAAGTCAAAACATAAATAAAAAAAATATTGCGAATATTATTCCAAAAACAAAACTTTCATTGAGGAAACAAATAAAAACTTATACCTTCTAATTAATCAGTTGAGTCTTCATCAAATCTCAGTTGTATAGTACCTATAACGTCTGTCCCATCCCAGGAGGATGAGCTCACAGTGGAAGCAGGCCTATTTAGCAGGTTTATTTATATTTCATAAGCGTCATTGAATCTTTCAGAGAGCTTAGAAAAGTGGGAACGTCTCACGGTGGCTGATGCATTAGAGCCTGTATCCTTTAACGACAGCGAAACCATTGTTCGTCAGGGTGAACCCGGAAACGATTTCTACATCATAGTTGAAGGTCTGTTTAATAATGTATTTGATTTCATAACGAACGTGCACTTTTTTTTTTTTTAATAACCACGGCACCTGGTCCCGTGATAAGTTCGTAAAGAACTTGTGTTACAGGTATCAGATAACGGAAATAAATGTAAGATTTTTATTATGCACATACATATACAGTCAAACCTGGATAAGCGAGAGTTCAAGGGAGCACAATCTCCTTCTCGCTTAGAGGTTTCTCACTAACCCGAGTTTCTCGCTAATGCTCCCTCTGAATTTCATTTCGCGATTTTCCGGATTCAAACGCATTCACTATTTTAAGTTTATCACTTAATGACAGTACTTTAATTTTCTGTTTTGACATGATGCAGAACAGAACTTTCCTTTGCAATTGATTAACGATAAACTGAGTAAGGCCGACAAACAGGACGGTACACAGGCACACGTGTCCAGTCGAAAAGAATGCGATAAAATAACAATTTTATTTAGTTCTACGAAATAGAATATGTTCAATATTGACGAGAAAAAAATACAAAAACAATGGTAGGAAGTTCCACGAAAGTTAAGAATGAGTCATAAAATAGCAGATGTTAAATTTGTAATTTGTTTTGTCATTTGTTCCTCCTAAAAGCTCGACTGTCGCTTATAGAGGTATAGATAAGTAGCAGTCTCACTTACGGAGGTCCATGAGGGAAAAATGACTCTCTCTTACACAGGTTTCTGTTTCTCGCTAATAGAGGTTTTGGGAGCTTAGAATGACGGGTCCTGGCTATTACTCTCACTTATAGAGTTTTCTCACTTATCCAGGTTTGACTGTATACTAGTATGGCAATTATGTGAGATGTGTACTTAGCTTTAAAAAAATCTTTTTTGTTACTCCTCGTTCTGCTTATACGTTACCACGGGAAAGTAACATAAACAGAAGTAACCAAAGGACGGGTACAGGGTTTCAATAAAATACATGTTCTCGACTGCTCTGGGGTAGACCGGTGTTATAAAATAAAAGAGTGGACTGTATTAATACGATAGGTGTAATATTTGGTTAATTTATAAAAGAGTAATAAGTAAGTGCCGCGGGTGACGTTGCTGCTCGAAGTGTCGAATACTGTCGAAGAAGGTGTAAAACAGCGACCCGGCGCCGCTGTCCTCCTTCCGGCGCCCGCGCCGCGCGATCGTCCATGTCCGAGCATCGACAATACATATTCTTTAAAATTCAACAGTTAAAACAGTATTTTACATCAAATTGTAGTTCATAAAATTAAATTAACTATTTATCAATTTTAACAAGAATACTAGGTATCTTAAACTTAACTACACACAGGGTAACAAAATCCGGATCGAATTCCCCGCAGTGCAGGGCACAATGTTAAGTCGCGGCTGTTGTCGACACAGACATGACATTAAAACAAAATGGCGATGTGAAATATCGTCAATAGTGCTGCCAAAAGAAAAAAACACCAACTAAATTACTAGTTTAAAAAATCTTTCGACATAAAAATCGGTAACAAAATCGGAATTCCACTTTGGAATTTTTATAGGACAATATTATTTTCCGAAAACTGATTAACTTACGACGTATTTCATTTTAAACTAAATAAAACATGTATTCAAATACTCTAAGTAGTGTTTTAAGACTATAGCTTAAATTCAGTTTCTTAGAATCGAAATAAATGAGTTCAAAATCACTACGGTCTCTTGGGACAACTTATTTTCCACAGTACGAAAATTTTGGTTTTTAGATTGATAATTATTTATTGTTTTGATATTTTCTCTGATAATTAAGTAATATCAATGAAGTTACGACAGTCACGTATGTTATATTTATATTATCGTAGTAAAAAAATTATCAAAGACCAAAGTATGGGACATCAACATTGCGGCTATGGTGAAAAAATTGGGAGAATTGCTCTCAAGGTAGGTGACGGCATTTAAGTTGTAGATGTCTATGGGCTCCCGTAACATGTCTGTCTGTACACATGGCGTATTGGAAGTAAAAATACGGCATGACAGCGGACATTAAAAATGTACGATATTCCAAGACAGCTTTTCTTGTAGCCATTTGAATACATCTGAGGTCTAGAAATTTATCTTTAAAAAAAAACCCATTATAAACATAAATCATTTATTATTACTTGTTCAGGCGCATTTTGAATTATTTTACTATCAATAAATTAGATTATTTTTAAAATATTTGAGAAATTAAGTCTTAGAAAACATATCTAATTATATACAAAGAGTACATAAAACCTTTGAAATGTGTAAGAGGACCATAATTTTATGGTTTAAAAACTGAATTTCTTCCAAATTCCACTCTTGCATCTTGATGTCCCAAGCTTCATCTCATGTTGTTGTAACTTGTGTGTTTGGTACTTGTATCATCTGGTGCCACCTCCTAATGAAGCTGATAAAACTAAAATAAGAAGTATATGGCCCGTAGATGGCGACTCCAATGTTGTATCTGTCTTGCGGCTGTGTCATTACACAAAGCAATATGCTATCTAACAGAAAATGTTATATACTTGTAACAGCAGTGGCGCTAGTTTTGCAATCTATTTGTGTCCGATTACAACCAGCATATGATAGAGGAAATTGGTTTAAAAATTCAAGTGCCTTAGAACTCGACTCGAATGCCAACTCTCGAGCGATGAATTCCACAGGAACGGTCTGTCTGTAGCTGCACATATTAAAATGGGATTATTAAAACATAGCCAGCAAGGCTGGCAACACATTATCATTGGAACAAATGTTAAGTTTAACCTAAATTAGCTAATCTAGTGACTACTGTACTGTGAGTCTTAATTCCCAGACAGAAACATTAACTGTATTAAAGTTATTATAGTAAAAGTAGCTCTGAGAACCCTACACTATTTGTATCAGTAAACACTTAAAACACCAGGATAGTGAGTAAGGTTGTTTTCTCAATCTTTGGCATTAGAAATCTATATTTCTATTACACAGAAAAGAAAACAGGAGAAAATCCTGGGTTTGTTGAATGTCGCGTTTTTTTTATTCTAATATAAATACAGGGTGCTTTGAAACTATTTTCGAAAATGTAGTCAGGTGCTACAGCTGGTTATTCCTGGTGAGATAAAACGAAAAAAATATCTGCGTAAAATTTTGAGTTGTATTACAAATTGTAAGAAATTAAAACACATTTAAGAATCAACTGTCATTAAATTATTTGTCTCACCGAAATGGTCTTACAGCAGTATTTTTTTTTAATAATAAAAGAAAATTTTTGCTAAGCCTATGTGTTTGTTCCCGTTTAGACTTCAGGAATGGTTTCTTGACATCCCTTACAATATGTAATAGTTCATAACAATCATTATTATTTAGTAGCCTAGTGGCTGAATTGTAGAAAAATATATTTTAATTTAATTATTTTAAATTTTACTTTACCATGAATACAAATATGTACTGAGTACATATACAGTCATCAATAAATAATAAAATATAGAACAAATTTCTTTTTTTTAATTTTACATCTCATTCATTCACTCATTCATATACTTCATCAGTATACACATCTCATTCAATATTCTGTTAATTATTGTCTTATTTCAGTATTAAGACATCCCCTAATGTTTTTCGCAAATCGTCTGATATTTTAGTCAACTATTTGTACAAAATGCATAAAAAAATACTAATTGCCTTTCCAGTCAGAGACTACTTTTACGGAAATGATGTTCTCATGTTTCCAAATTTCATTTTATCAAAAAGAAATCATTTTCATTCTCTATTGGATATGTATCCTATGGAAGCAATACTATTTAGTTTTGAGAATTTAATGCATACTAACAACTTTTCACATTATTAAATTTTGGAGATTCTTCAGGTACTTTTTATTGGAATTGCCTCTGGCATTACATTNAGAGACTACTTTTACGGAAATGATGTTCTCATGTTTCCAAATTTCATTTTATCAAAAAGAAATCATTTTCATTCTCTATTGGATATGTATCCTATGGAAGCAATACTATTTAGTTTTGAGAATTTAATGCATACTAACAACTTTTCACATTATTAAATTTTGGAGATTCTTCAGGTACTTTTTATTGGAATTGCCTCTGGCATTACATTAAGACAATGACTTGCCAAAAAATATTATAATTTATTCTCAATAAATTAATTTAATCAAAATTATTTTGACTGTTTATTATTTTCACTTTACAATTTCTGATGTTTCGAATATGTATTTTCCAGTTTTCATGGTAACAAAGGACTACAGTGTTACTTGTAAAGATTTGAATATTGTGGGAACTATTGTATGTTTGACATGACGCTTATTACCATAGAATACACAAAAACCATAGAAAATACTATAGAGTTATTATTTGTAACTGGGGTAATCTTGCAGAGGAGCCTCGAAATGAAAGTGAAAGTGAATATATTAAAACCTACACAACAAGCCTACATAAACAAAGCTGGTATCTACTTTTTAACATGATGTTAGTCATTGTAGTAATGTGATAATGGATAATGTACCCCCTTACCCTGAAAATATGACTTGGCAGCTATAGGTTTTAAGCCATGCTATATTTTTTATCTTGATCAATCTTTAATTTATTTGCTAGGGTTGATAAGAATAAAGAAGTACAGTTACAGGTTGACATTGAAAAAAATGCATTTTAGATGCAAAGCAAATTATGCACATGTGTTTTTTTTTAAATACTAGATTTTCATGTTGAGCCATTTCTTTTATAATATATTTTGTAGTGAGCATTACTAATTAATAATTAGTCTAATTAGACCGGAAATAGAGTGGACACCCAGTTTCAAGTGTTGGTCAAAAGTGTCTATTTCCACTGTTAAGTAAACTAATAAAAAATAAACTAAGAAAAAGACATACGACTTTATGATGTATTTGAGGTATTGTTTTCGCTCCCTCTCCACAAACCAGTCCATGAGGTATCCAGCCATTAGTGGGGCAGTTTTGTAGAGTAAGCAAAACTTGTGTAAGTTTCCAGTTGCCCAGGCACATCTAGTTTGTAATGCATGTTTTATACAATTATTTTCCCTGTCTTCTTTAGATAGAAACTGAAATATGGTTGTTAAATCTGAAATAGATAAAAAATAAAATATGACTTTCCTTTATCAGACTGAACAAAATTACTTAGATGCTTTGGATATTTGGTTTAAGAAGCACCAGATAAAACATAATACTAACCTAATGTATTCTTTGTAAAAATGTAGTACAATATCCTGTATGCTGTAAATTCTGCTAAATTTGATCTACAGTGTGGCAATTCACTGTACAACATTTTAAGTTGAGTTTGACACTGATTAAATTCCTCATGGTCACCTTTTTCCAAGGCAATGCGAGCATGTGTTTCATATACTTCTACAGTGAAACTATCTCTTACCCCTTGCACCTGAAATATGTTACCATCACTATAGTTGTATTATAGAATATTTTAAACATAGTGCCTTTGTTGATTCACATACATTAGATTACATATTTAACAATTATTATACACTAAACTTGAAATTAAGTTTATTATAATTTTAACATGGATATATAAAAGGAATAATAAAGAAATCTCACAATGAGTGTTATACATGAAATAGCCCATTAGTTGAACAACTGTGATGAAAATCTATAGATTGCTTAACATCAATTAGTTCCATCATACAGTTTTGCAAAAAAAAAATTAAATAATTTTACTTACAGTTAGATCTTGCCTGATGGATTTGAGTTGATCACAAGCATATCTATAATCTTGGCGCTCTATCCATTTTTCTTTGACATTCTTGAGGGACTTATTTAAAACGCACACAGGGCGAACTTCACATGCTTCAGGTGCTTTAGTTAGTCTCAAGAATGACTTTTCTATATCTAGACATGTACCCACTATGTGCATATCATTTACTTCATAATCACCTTCATTGTCTTGGATTATTGATTTTTTAGAAGTAAGTTCTACTCTTTTGCTATTTACTTGTAGTGAACTTGCTATGGAGGGTACATTACTTGAACCTGCAAATCTTTCAGCTCTTTTTTGAAGTTTTTCAGCATTACCCTGAGCATCTTCAACAACAAACTGATTACACTGTTTCTTTTTATTTTTGCTAAATTTTTCTGATTTTTTATTTGAAACTAACGACAACCTATCCTTAACTTTTTGCCTCCCCTTACCTTTTGGAGGTTTTTTCTCTTCAATTTCATCACTCGAACAAGATGACGCACTGGAACAAAGCAAGATTAAATCAACTATCACTTTGGCATTGCACATTATTTAAGATCTTAGAATTCTTACTCACCTTAACCTTTTTCTAGGACTCCTAGATTTTGACCTGCTCCTCGAGCGTAGTTTTTTTTTCCTTTGATTATTTTTAATTCCACTAAAGCTATGATTAACTAAGTTAGACCTACTTTTAATCACTTCATTAAATTTTTCACACTTTTGATATAAGCTTAATGCACCCCGAACTGGTTTAACAGACAAATTATTACGCTCACTGTGGACACTTGGTATTGGTTCTATATCCCAATTCCTAGTCCATATTTCATCTTTATTTGCAGCAGCAGTAATTCGTCCTTTTAAGCATATATCAACTTGATCTCTATCAAACTTACTCTTACACTTTTCATAACACTTTTTGATATATCTTTCCAAGCTTTCAGGCCATGCTCCTGTTGAAGATGGAAATACTGTTTCTGTCTTAAAACTTTCACTTGATGTATCTGGTTTGACAAAAGTATTCTCCAGCGGGAGACCTTTTGGCTCTTCCGGAGGTTCAGGTATATTCTCAACTTTCATTGGGGGCGGCAGAGGAACATCAATAGGAGGTGGAGGAGGTTTGGGAAGATCTGGAGGAGGAAGAGGGGGCAATGGTGGTGGATAATCAGGCAAAGGAGGTAGATTTGACTGCGAAATTGTGTTATCTTCATATTCGTTGTCAAACTTTTTCCGTTTAACTTTAGGCTCAGTTGGGTTTGTCAAGAGAGGATTTTCACTCTGAGATAAAGGAGCAGCTTTTCTTACATTATTGAGATTGAACTTGATAGGGTTCTGATTTGGGAAAGGGCGGTTTACGCCCGGGCGTGGGGCTCTGAGTAAAGGTGGTGGATTTGAAGCTTGATTCATACCAAATTCAGACTCGTTGTATTGATGATGGTGGTTATAGGCATTATTATTACCAGCATGATTAAAATATTGATTATAATAAGGTGCATACATTCCACCATGGTAATTGTTATATGGATGATGAAAAACACCATACATCCATGGATTATGATTTGGAGGTAAACCAGTCATTGTTTGCAGTGGAGGCTCCTTAGCATTATTGCCAGACATCCTTAACAGCTAAACAAATAAACCAACTACTGCAAGGTATTCCTGCAGGCAATTACGTTCCTGTGAGAAGTTCTTATTCCCCTTATAGATTCTTGTGTGAAAATCTTAGTTACGGCCACTATTTCTTACAAAAACAAAATGGCGACGACAAAGAATGTCGATTGTTACATACGTCTTGGATGTTCAAATAATATTCTTGGATATTGTAATAAATAACAATAAATGGAGGACGTAGCAATTGCACTCACATTTCACGTTTCTTCAACTAAATTTTACACCATTAAAATAATTTTGATCTAAGTACTTTGAGTGTAGATCATAAACAACAGACTCTCAAATCATAGATTATACACTTAATTTAATTTCTCAAATATTAAGTGTATAATCTATGCAACAGACACAGTGCTGCCAGATGACCGTGTGAATTTCCCCCCAACTTTTTTCGAAAACCCCCCGAAAATAGGCTTTTTGAAGAAGAAAACCCCCAAAACAGTCTTTACTTATTATAAAGAAGAAATAAAAAAGCAAAAGGTTTTTTTATTTTTTAATCAAGCGGTCCCTATAACTTCAACCATCTCTAAACAATTATTACAATCATATTCACTTTCGTTATTATTATTTAAAGCATACAAGTTTTCGAAGTTAAAGATATTTAACATGTCCGATGTGGGAACAAAATTTATGCATCTATTTGGCAGTGAAAATCGAATCCTGAGAACCGCTTCGGCAGTTTCTATTGCCATTTGGTTGCATAATTTGTCCTTTATAATATTGACTTGTGAATAGTATAGTAGACTATAATTATTCTAATAGTAATTGCGAACTGTGTTTGTGGATGAATTATTGATACTTAAAAAACTTCCGAAATTTCTAACTAACTTTTCCCCCCGAATGTCCCCCCAAAGAATCTTTCCCCCCGAAGGTCGAAAAACCCCCCGAATTTGCAGGGAATCCCCCCCATCTGGCAACTGTGAACAGACAATAATTGGTACTATTTAGTACATATGTATGGGATTTTTTGGCCTGAACGCGAGGAGTTAAGTTATCACAACTTAACTCCTCGCTTCTTTTATTTTGTCTATTTAGTGTTTCTTCAGGTTTAAATGTGTAATAACGGTGGTTTATTAACTGCTAAATATCTGTGAAAGTGCCTAAATGTGGGAAAATTAAATAAAGCCTCTGGATATAGCTTCTCGGATCCCGGGAAAAAATCTCAGTAAATGACCACTATTTTACTGAGATTATATTTCATCTCATCTCATTTCATTTAATTTCATCACAGTTGATTAATGTCTTAAATTAATTATCATTTTACTCCATATTATCATTTTTCATAAAAATAAGAATATAAATTAAAGTAAAACATGACTTAAAGGTCTTAGTTACCAGGTCATAAAATCCTATAAAAAAGTACTTATGTATTGTGGAGGGTAATGCCGGCCACTGACATGCGCGCAAATATTCGTAGGTACATTGTACCTCGAATATATTAAGTGTATAATCTATGCATTGTACGAATGTTTGCGCGCATGTGAAGGGCCGTCAAACATTCATTCGCAAACATAATGGCTGTGCAAATGGGTTCGTTACTCAATTTGCGAACCCGTTTGCGCTTCCTCGTACACTTGTTTACGAATGTCTCACGAATTTCTCCTCCATGCTGTTTTTATGGGATTTCTTTTGATGAAGATACGCTACACAGTATATATACTACACGAACTATGAAAATGGCGATACGTCCGTTACCTTCGCAATCGTCGGCGCAACTGGGCAAACGCATGTGTGGGAGACTACGCGAAGGTTCGCGGTTCGCGCGCTTTGATGTCTGTTAAAAAACCGACACAGCTTGGAAAACCACGAATGTAGCGAAAACTTTGCATAATCATTCGCAAATGTCGTCCTACACTTGCGGGTTTGCGTATTCGTGCGCATGTGAGTGACCGGTGTTAAGGTAAGGAGGACCGTCTCAAATGGGAGAAGCTTGAAGAAGTGTCCCATTTTCAGCACTAAATAACAGTTCAAAAATCCTCCAGAATGGCGCTAGCATAGGCACAAGGTATATGAATTCAGCAGTTGTTAAAAGTAGAAGTTCGCTTCAGGTGATCCGTTTGCTGTTTCGCTTCCAGTAGTTTCGATTACTAACGGACTGTTTTTTTTTTTATACCTATGCTGATAGCCTTGATAGGCTATTTCAGCTTCACCCAACGTGTGTAGGTGAGCTTACGGGGCTCAAACCGGAGTGTTGCTAACATTGACCGTAACAAGAGCAGTGCTTCGCAGAATCTACCACCCCATCGGAAACGCGACCCACTGAGAAGATCCGGCGAGAAACTCAGTGAGCTGTGTCTATGTGTTAATTCGCTCGTCGAGCCCTTCGTCGCAAGCGACGGGTTCGACGAGGACGGTGACCGGTGGTTATGGTGCCAAAAAGCACCGTTAATGGATCAGGAGGATCCGTAATGACGTGCTTTGGGCGACGTCGACGGTTTACCATTTGGTCTACAGGATCGGGTATGTAGTTTCCAGCGGCCACGACAAGAGGGTTCTCATGTCGTGCCGCCTTCTCGAAGTGGCGCAACGATGCCGACTGTAGATATTTACTGACAGAGTCCAGGTCATCGTGGAGATCCACGTTCCTCAGAAAACATGGTGCTCCGACGGGTATCCTGCAGAATCGGGATTGCTGACTGTGTGCATCTCAGCAACGCTTTTATAGTCGGTACGAGATCCCTAGATTTATCATTTATCGAGTACATTCTGGGCAAGTAAAGTAGCTTCGATGTATTTCTGCTATCTGACAATAGATGGCGCTGTACTTCCCGATTTTACTAGTACCTTCGATATCCGTTGGGCTATTCGGCGATAGCTGGCGCTACTCTTAACGGCGTAACAATATGAAAGTTAAGAGTCTAAAACAAGATTTCTGATTTGTCTCAATAAGGTGGATTAAATCATCGTGGTGAGAAAATTCTCTGAAGATACCGGTTGTTTCTGCCTACCCAAATGCTGGTAGCTTCAAGAGACTACTGCAGTCTTCAAAGCAACTGGAATATCCAATAATGTAACTTATACAAGGCAATAAAGGTGAAATAAAAAAAAACATTGTAACCAGGTAATAATGAACCCCTTTTTAAATAATTGTATTTTTTTTATATTATTTTAATAGTTAATTATAATTAATATTTTTTTATTTGTATATTACATATATTTGTGTTTTACATAGCTACCAACATTATTAAGGATGATTAATGCTGATATTGCATTTTTTATAACATTAAAATATGCTGCACTTCTACTGCTTTAGATCACCAGATTTATTATCGTTTAGAATTCTATATTTCAAATGAACAGATTAGGTGAATGATAATTAGATATCTTTTGCAACTATTCAACATCATAGTAATTTAATTTTGTTTATAGGAAAAAAATTATTTGCTATCTTTCACAATTTTTCTTTACATTGAGTTTTACAGTTTTACACTATTACAGTTGTAGCACATTATGCAGTTATTCACTAGAGAAGTTATTTGCATCATCTAACACAATGAGTAAATTTTTTCTGAACCATTTATGATTTAGAAGCCAAGGAACACACAAGTTAAAGAGAATTTTTTTTGCTAACTTTATTCACCTATTAATGATAATAATCAGATAGTTTAGTTTAGAGGCTTAAAAGTGTGGGAGACACACTTTCCCAGCAAAAAGTTCAGATATCACTGTTATCCAAAGGGAGAGAACAAATAATATGTAGGAGATTCCAACTTGATGACTGTTTGGTAATTGATAAGGTTGTCCTCCAATCTCATCCACGTGGAAACCCATGGGAAATATGACTGCCGCTAAGCAGAATACAACCACTGAAAGACAATCATTGATTACTCCATGATTTAAGTTTTCATGATATATTTTTCTACTTATGAGATGTATGCAGTTACTTTACTATACACACACAATTCTGGCAAGTATTTTACTTTCATCATTGTTTTTGTCATGCTCTTTAATAAAATCTTGAGTACAACATAAAAACAAATAGCCCAGAAATTAGATTAGACAGTAAACATAAATTTCTTCCAGAAATTAGATTAGACAGTAAACATAAATTTCTTTACTTTTTCAATCATCACACTGCAATTTCATCACATTGAATATTATTGATAATTTCCCGAAAAACCTTTTAGAGAACAATAATAATTGTCAGTTTACTTACTTGCTGCAAAACCAACCCATCTTGCATATGGGACCACATTTCTGTCAAAATGACTTGAAGCTAATAGTATAACAGTGGTGGTGATGCATATGCAGCCAATGAAAATGCAAATAAGTGCCAAAAGCCATTCAGGTTGAAGGTCTGGAGTAAAACAAACTTGAGGTCTGTTGTATAGAGTCATGCAAGACCACATAAGACCTAGACGAGTGTCACCTGAAATTTAAATATTTACCTTATGACAGATTATTACTAGTAGTATTTATTTTATCTTCTTTGAATTTTTCATAAATTGGACATTTTGTATTGAATTCCAAGGTTATAGTTTTTTCTTTTTATTTATTGATAAATAAAACATGAGCCACAAGAACAATATTATGTCAACAAAAAATGTTCATCACGATATGCTTAACTCTTACCTGATAAATTATTTAACTCATATTAAAACACATAATTTAATTGACCTTATTTGCTATTTTGAATATACAATCATAGGTACCTCCAATGTCTGTAATTATCCAATCAGGCATTGCAAGACTTACAATGGCAAAAACATCAGCAGCCATGAAAAGTGTGGCGGATATCACTGTTAACTTATCCATTTTTGTGAATAAAATTCATACAAGCTATATATAAAATTATAATTTTCGATTACAAGAAAAATTCTCTTAGATATTAATGTATATTGACAGCAATATTGACTTATTCATAATTTTATTTTGTATGCTAAAGTTGTGAGTGAAGGGATAAGAGATCGAAGACCAATGTTTACAAATACATATTTTTTTTCATTTTATTTGCGATAACTGGAAACTCGTCTTTTTATCCCAAATTGTTTTTTCTAGCATACTACTATAGCAATCATTGTAAAATGGTGGGAATTTTATTTTTGGAAGAAGTTGAGACGTGTTGTGGTTAATAATTAAAATTTAGACAGATAAAACACATTTGGCGAAACAGAATAAAAAATATTTTTGGTGTCGTGGGACACCGGATAGGAAAGAAGTTCCATATATAAAATAAAAACAAAGCATTACGAGAAAAAAATCGCGCGGTGAAATATCGCTGTGCGGAAAACAAGGCCTTATTCCACGGACTTTTCTTACGGTTTTTACTATCACATTTTTTTCAGTTCGGTCGCGCAGCAAAATCCCTATCTCCTCCAAGCCTGCCGTAAGGAACTTCGTTCCAATAAAATAAAATTTTAATCTAATACAAAGATACAGTACCCGCAAAATATGTCGTCCCTGATCACCCTCTTCGACCAACTTATACCTTGGGCCAGGAAGACCAAGTACCTGGGTGTAGCCCTGGATGTATCCATGACATTCCGCCCACATATAAAATCAGTCCGTGACCGTGCCACGCTTATTCTCGGCAGACTCTACCCCATGATCTGTAAGGTAACAAGGTGACACCTTACAAAAGACCAGTCATGACTTACGCGAGTTCGCTCTCGCGACCCGCACACACATAGATACCCTCCAATCACCAATCCCTACAATCTTGTTTTTTGTAGGTTAGCCGTCGGAGCTTCGTGGTTCGTGAGGAACATCGACTTACACGACGACCTGGACCCCGAATCGCAACGTTACTTCGATAAGGCTGTGTGCCATGTGTCGCCTTGTCGTTGCCGCTGCTGACTACTCCCCGAACCCTGATCCCACTTCGATAAAGCGGCACGACACAAGAACCCTCTCATCGTGGCCGCCGGTAACTACATTCCCGATCCTGCGGACAGAATGGAAAGCAGTCGACGTCGCCCAAAACACGTCATCTCGGATCCTCTCGATCCACTAACGGTGCTTCTAGGTACTTCAAGCACCGGTCACCGTTCTCGTCGAAACCGTCGCTTGCGACGAAGGGCTCGACGAGTAAATTAACTCTCAGACACAGCCCACTGAGTTTCTCGCCGGATCTTCTCAGTGGGTCGCGTTTCCGATCCGGTGGTAGATTCTGCGAAGCACGACTCTTGCTAGGGTTCGTGTTAGCAACGTCATCAGGTTTGAGCCCCGTGAGCTCACCTACTAGTTAGGGTTACGCTGGAATAGCCTCTCAAGGCTACCAGCTTAGGTAGGAAAAAAAAAAAGAACCCTGATCACGCAAAAGCCAGTCACCATCGACGTCCTAGACACGTTTATACGGATCCATTAGCTCTAATAAACCTTGTATTAGACGCCTTCAGCCCTAACACTAGGAGCCGCCTTAGGGACCCCAGTAACCATACTCGTCGAACTCGGCAAAGGATTCATCGTGCTACCTAACCCATGGATCAGCGCTCGGGTAGCTGTTAGCAAATCCCACCCCTCCTGGCTGAGCCTTTGCGTGCCCACCCGTCCTGGTGAAACTGGAAAGGCCTCAGGGCCACCAGTAACCCTTCAATCATAAAAAAAATCTTATAATTTACAGAAAGTAGTTTCACTCAAGGTGCCACGTAAGGATAAAGCGTTACGCCAACTCCTCAGTAGGTATTTGTAATGTCTCTACAGTGGTGCGACAAAGAATGTCACAAGTGAACACACAGGGAAAGTGGTTTTTGTAGGTACTACTACCCTACTTATTTCTGTCGTGGAGCAGTAATGTGTTTCGGTTGGGCAGCCGTTGTACTGTAAAAACAGATCTTAGAACCCATATCTCAAGGTAGGTAGTGACATTTACGTTACAGATGTCTATGGGCTCCGGTAACTATTTAACACCAGGTGGGCCGTAAGCTCGTCCAGGTATCTAAGCAATAACAATAAATAAATAAATAAAACATTACCATACAATGTGTGTTCATTGTAGGCTTTATGGTAGGCATCGTCTTGGCTCTGTCCCTGGTATTATGGACGTCCATGAGCGATGGTAACCACTTACCATCAGCTGAGCCGTATGCTCGAAAGCCAACAAGGCAAATAAAAAAATAGTGGTCAAGGTCACTTTAGGTTTTTTCCCCTACCTATTCGCTGGTAGCCTAAGGTATTCCAGCTACGCCCTAGATGAGTTCACGGCCTCAACCTGAGAGAATTCATTAATACTAGCCCTAGCAAGTGCAGTGCTTCGCAGAATTTACCACCGGATCGGAATCGCGATCCATTGAGAAGATCCAGCGAGAAACTCGGTAAACAGTGTCTACGGGTTAACTTGTTCGTCGAATTCTTCATCTAATCGACGACTTCGACGAGGACGGTGACCGGTGTCTGAGGGGCCTAAAAGCACCGAGATTAGATCCGGGAGATCTGACAAGACATGTTTCGAGCGACAGCAGTTTTGCGTGGCCCCGTCGCCTGGGTCGGTTAAGTAAATACGTCCGTCGTTTTGACTTAATGAATGATTGTGTAACAACCTGTAGAATAACATACTTCACTAGATCAAAAACCCTAAACGTGTTTTAGCTCTTTTTATGATAGTTTTTGAAGTGAAACTTCTTTAGGCGCGTTAATAGTAAAATTTAACTCGCGCCAGATTAGTTACGGCTAAAGCGAAAAGATACAATTTCGTGTGAGCGAGAGTGAGAAAATAGACAGCGTTTCTCGAACTACTCGACCTTGGAGAGAGGGAGAAAGCGAGCTAGGTAGTTTCTCTTATATACATTCTAGTTACGGACGTCGGTCACTAGATGGCTTGTGATTAGTTTCCCATTGATCCTGATTACTGGCAGTAACATATTATCTTATATTTTATTTTTAATGAAGGATTAAAAAAATATATAAATATATTTTTCTATTTATTATTTAAAATATATACACAGCATTCCCTACTACAAGAGAAATTTGATTTATGGATGAAAAATGAAAAAAAAAAACACAACCCTACACAAACTGCAAAAGAAGTTTTACCTCTTTCACGTGCACCAAGTTTCACGCGCACCGTTTTGAAATAGACGAATTATATTTCTAATCATTAAATAAAGGCAGTGAAAGTCCTCATGTTGCCGGTCAATTCCTTTATTTGATAATTGCTTAAATAATATTGAGTAGGTATGTTGTTTAGTATCGAAGTCCATTTTTATTGCCGAGGTCATGTTATTAAAAGTAGAAGAGACGTAAGTAATAACGGTAATGTATAATATTTTTGAGCGACAATGGGAGACTTCATGCTGGAGCCGCGGGTGGGGCGCTGCTAACCGTGTTGCTGGTTGCGGTCGAAGTTGTATCATCGGGCTCGTTGATCTGTAGCCATGGCATTCGGCGTTGTAGCTCTTGTCTGTATAAATTATAAATATTTTATCTATACTAATATTATAAAGAAAGAGGAACGATGAATAGGCTCCGAAACTAGTGAACCGATTTGAAAAATTCTTTCACTGTTTGGAAGAAGCTACACTATTCCCCAGTGAATAGGCTATCTTTTTTGAAAAAAATTAGGTGCCCTGAGAAAACGATTGATGATAGAATAAAATAATGTACTACGACTTTATAGAACACATTATTATTTAGAAAAAGTGTGGCGACAGCATATGTCTAACTATTATACTTATGCCGCAATAAGTGTTCTTTTATTTAAAAAAATAAAACAACGTCAAATATCGTTGGAATTTTTGTTAAAAACCCGAGCGGAGCCGGAGCGAGCCGCTAGTCAGATAATAAATTATATAAGTATTTGCACTTGTTTGTTAGACTTCTTGTTCTGAAACATAGACGCAAACTAATTGAGAAATTGAATTCTTGTATTCGCACTGAACACACCGTTTTGTTTCGTAGTATCCACTCACTATACTAGGTTTGTCCTCAATATTTTTTTAGTTCTATTGTAGTATCTTATTAGATTGTGGATATTTTACATCTATTTCTTTTATATTGTATTCTAAATATTTTGATCATAGACATTTTTAGTAGATACCTGTATTTTGGATGGCTGATCGCGTATACCCATGGATCTATACAAGCAACAGCTTTACACGCGACAGCGGGTATCATCGTTACCTAAAAAAAGTTACGCAAAGTATTCTTTAATATTTATTTAATAAAGGACGACAATTGCACCAAAACCATTGATAACAAGTAAAAGTAAATTTATAAAGTTTCAAATTGAAATACATAAATAATTAAAGATAATAATAATACCTTACTGCTCTCTACCTATACATCCCTGCTAAACACAAATAAGTTTTATAATTTGCCCTGCCTATTTCTACCACAAAGCCGTTATGCTTCCGATTTGATAGTGTAGGTACCTACCTATACTGAAAACTTTGATTAATAAAAAATAAATAAATATTTAAATAGCTCGATACATAGGCATTTATGAGCGACTAAAAGCAAACTTTTTGTGTTTATATACCTAATAGAAATCTGACCCTTGCGTCTTAAGGTGGTTGGCACCATTCGCTTTGTCTCTATTAGGGATTTATCAAAAATCTGAATGACCTTACAAGCCCGTAAATCGAATTCTCTTTTTCCTAGCTATGATATTATACTATGGTACAAGTAATACCATCTGTCATCAAATAGCAGAAAGGGAAGGAAAACAACTGTAATAGAATTATTTTGTCCGTGCAGTTGGGGTCATAAAAAATCGGAGCGGTGAAGCGAGTATTTCGCTCTTTCTTCCACTCACGAGCCTTATGGATGGGCTCCATCCGAGTGATGCGCATTATTGTTGTCGATAAGCGTTATCGATAGTGTATTTAGTTTTGTCATTTTGTTAGTTAGTGATAAAAATTAAAGTAAAAATCACTAATCGAACACTTATACCACATATCGCCGCAGCAAGTTAACGAGAACGGCAGAAATTAACACTTTGTAACTTTTAGGGATCTATTCTTATTTCAGTGAAAAATTTTAACGCATTAAATATTATTTTGAATAAATTCTGCCGTTTTCATACAAAACAATGGAGTAGCCATTGTGTCCCTAGAGAAATTCAGAGAACGAATGCATAAAACACATTTCTCTTCGACATAATGTACTACTGGTGGTAGGACCTCTTGTGAGTCCGCACGGGTAGGTACCACCGCCCTGCCTATTTCTGCCGTGAAGCAGTAATGCGTTTCGGTTTGAAGGGTGGGGTAGCCGCTGTAACTATACTGAGACCTTAGAACTTATATCTCAAGATGGGTGGCGCATTTACGTTGTAGATGTCTATGGGCTCCAGTAACCACTTAACACCNCCACCGCCCTGCCTATTTCTGCCGTGAAGCAGTAATGCGTTTCGGTTTGAAGGGTGGGGTAGCCGCTGTAACTATACTGAGACCTTAGAACTTATATCTCAAGATGGGTGGCGCATTTACGTTGTAGATGTCTATGGGCTCCAGTAACCACTTAACACCAGGTGGGCTGTGAGCTCGTCCACCCATCTAAGCAATAAAAAAAAAAAAAACTATTATAATTTGCAGGTAAGTACAAATTACTCATAACACAAAAATACTGGTTAATAACCATGTGCCACCACCCTTCGTATACCACCCCGCCGCCGTGTACCTGCCTTCGATGACTCATTTGTATTTATCGACAATGGTGTTGTGCCCGCGCAACATGCTCACCGCCCTAGCCGGGCTATGTTTTATGACCCAAACTGCACGGACAAAATAATTCTACTATAGTACTATTGGCAACGTTCGAGAAGTGTAACGCCACCGAAAGCCAATTACCATTACCGAAATGCAAATTGAAAACAAGGCGCGTGTTATGAATCCATGTTGTTTCACATTCTGAATCTACGGCTCTAAAATATTCACCCCCGGAGTCAAGAGTTGCTGGTCTCCAAAAGCACCTATCAGTGCCATCACTCCGTATGGTGTCCAGGATGCCACAAATAAGAAACATACAGTAAGCGCCGCTTTCGCTATTCTAATTTCGGCGGATTGAGAGGCCCCACTCTGATTCGCTCGCAAAGATTCCACGTTCATCTTTTTTGCTTGTTCTCTGTTGATCAATTAAATGTTTTTTTTTTTTTTGTTTTTATAATATTCTCATGATAATTTTTGATATTATGTAATCAAGACTCATATAAATATACTTATGAATTTTCGGCAAATATGTCCGAAATGATATCCAAATTGTACAGATTTTTCTCAATATAAATTTGTAGCTCATTACGAATCTTGTACGAATCTTTTGTAAATCAAGAATGTATGTATGTCAAGCTGATAAGTGTAGACATAATTAAAAAGCTATGCAGAGGGAATATAGAGGGAGAATACATTACTTATTTACCTTAATGCGGCCTCATGTGCAAACACCTGTTTAACGATTCCACTATAAAAGTAAATTATCATCGACATGGGAAAAACATAGCTGCATACGAAAATACACGCCACGAATAGCTTCGTATCAAAGGTGTTGGTAAGATAGTCGAAAGTGCAAGACGTTAAATATCCCTCTGAAAAATAATTGTTTAAGACTATGGTAACACAGCATGATCAACAAGAATTATCGAAGGAACCCCGTTGCAAATACGACTTATTGTGATGAAGTTTTTTTGAAATCCGTTTAATCATTAATGTCGGATATAATAAATTGTTAATGTTTCACTTCAATGGGGAGTACAGTGCAGGACATTACTCTTTAAATCGTATTTACTGAAGGGTTTTACTGTCACTCAGTACCTATTTGAATCATTGTAGGTAACATTGTTCATTTACATTGTCTGCAAATTAAAACTATTGTTATGTACATTGTTTCTTATTTTGTTATTATTAATGGGCTAAGTTGGTATTTTTATTTTATTTTTTATTATTATTTACAGGCCCCAAGTCAAGAGTACTTGACAGAAAGAGTCCGATCGCCCAATATTTAACTCAATAAATGCGCAATCTAACTTAGATATTGTGTTATACGACAGAGTATAATAATATATAATAAATAATATATAATATAATAATGTACTATAATATAATAACTATCATAATATAATGGGACAGACTGTAGTTGAATGCAGCGTATCCGGGTAGAAAAATTGTAATCTGCTTCGGCTTAGAGCAGTGAGACGGTATAAATAAGATAGCGAGATATGCACAATAAATCCACAGAGGCTTGGCCTTTTTCCTGCCTAATCGCTGTTAGCCTTGAGGGGCTATACCAGCTTCTCTGGGCTGGTAAGCGAGTTCACGACGCTCAGCCTCCAAGACTTTGCTAGCATCTTTCCTAGCAAGACCAATGCTTCGCTGTACCTACAACGTGACACTACAACTCGAATATTGCGACTATTCGGAACGTGAAGGCAGTAATTTAGTAAATAAGTAATTTCAAAAATAATAATAATGCGGTTTTGTGTTTATGCAGTAAGTATACGGTTTTCACTGCTTCAACGAGGACTTCGTTCGGATGTTGGTTTCGTCCCCTGGTTAGAACGTGTCTTATTTTTAAACTATGACTAATTATTCTCTCACCTGGAACATATCTGCCCCAGATCTTCAACAAAGGCAATAGTGCCCACGGAGTACAGTATATCCATACAAAAGCCATCATTAATAACACCTTGCCTTTTGAGAGTCTACCATCGAGCGGACGTGTGATAGTCGAGTGCCTGTCAAAACCGTTTTGTGTATTAAACAATGTCACGTTTAAATAAAATACTTTTACGGTTTTATCACGCGTTTGTTTAATGTCATTTTCAACGTTTAGTTTTCATAGTGACAGACGAATAAGATGTTTTTGGCGATAACCCGTGAGCCGAAGCTGTGTGAATTATTTTATTTTGTTAATTTAATTTTTCTTCAGGTTAAAATATGGTGACTTATTACCGGTTTAGCATGTGTGAAAGTGCACAAATTTGAGGGTTTTGATAAACCGACACTGGCAACAATGGTGTCTTAAGAAGCCAATTGCTATACTTTAAAAAAAGTAGATAAATGTTATGATGCTGTGCGTTGACATTTGAGTATCGTGCTAACCACCGTTGTATTTTTCCCCCGTGTAATAATATCCCAAGGTCTGGCATATTTTTGACTTAGAGGATCCTCTTCACGATAAGCACATGCTATGCTTTTAATAAGCGACAATCAGTTTTTCTATTAAAATAAGATATTTTTTTATATTTCAATTCGTGAAATTAATGTTTTCTTTAGCGACTATATTTTATATGGTCAAATCTTACAAAAGGTTTTACAAAGAAATTTTTATTGCTTTTAACAGCTGGGACTGTGGTTTTATAATTATCCTAATACAATCGCAGTGTCTGTTTCTAATAAATTTCATGTTAATTGTTGGCCTTAAATATATATTTACCGGTCGTAGGCAATACAGGCGTTTGTCATCCCGGCACCTATGCCGCTGTAGGCTCCCATTACAGAAAAAATCTGGCATCCAATAGTACCGGTTGCGAAGCCGCGCATCGCACTATTGTAAATAAATATAGGTGCTTTTGCCATCATTATGAAGTCCAGTATAGCCAATTGGAGAATGAGTAAATTGCTTGACGTCCTTAAACTTTTTGTCCTGTTCAAATTAGGTTTATCATTTAATATCAACAATATGATTATATTATTTCTGGTTTTACTATATCTTCCCAGGACATAATTTTCTATGGAGATGGATTTGTTTACCGCTAAAACTAATTCGTGTGCTTATCGTAATGATCATGCAAGAGACAAAGTCGCGGTTACGAATTCTCGACAGGCGAGCATAGAACATTGGCTGAACTTCGCTAATCCGCTACATCCAGAACGGCTTCACCTTATCTCTTTCCGTGGGTGGCGTAATAGGGTAAGAAGGAATTCACCAGAGAATGGGCAGCGGTGTTCTATTAATATTAAGCGGGTGTGAAGGGCAGCAGTTACGTGTTCGAATTTGAAAGCTCTGGGACAGCCATTATGCAATATAATCTTATATCTCAGGGTAGGGTTGCATTAATGTTGTGATGTCTTTAAATATGGTATAAAACCAGTTGGGTCATTCGTTTGCCCATTTACGGAATTATATAAAAAACCACAATTATTGGTTAACATTTACTACTGTTGTAAAGTACTGATGTTTAATTAAACTATGTTTATCAATATACCTACGAGTTTTTGTCGGATATAACGACATCCCGGCTATCATAGCGTAAATGGCTTATTGAAAACAAACATATAGTAGTAGGTGTCACTGCCAGTACCGATTTTTTATTTATTTTTATTGAAGCATCGTTCTATTGTACGGACAATTATACATATAATTTAATTAAATCACTACTAGCATTAATTATACTAAAAAAAACTTACGTGGAAAATACGAAGATAACAAGTCCGTTTCCAAGTAGCGCAGCAGCAGTGAAAAATATATACAACAGAGCCAGTGCTGTATGTGCGCTGGCGGGTGGGGCAGGAAATGAGAGCCAGTGTTCTGGTACGGCTGCTAAGTCGTCCCCCGATAATCCGTCTCCAAGCATTTCCACTGCTCCAGCACCACTAGATCTGTTCGATCATTTTAAAAAGGGTTGGTCAGACTATACTATAATTATACCTGTATAATAATTTATGTGCTCATCTAAGTGATCGCTTATTAATTCGCCAAGGACTTTTTGAAGCTTAATTTTGTAACTGCATATTCAATTTATGTTGGATTATATTTGAAAATTAAGAAAGAATGGTTTATAAGATTAATAAATTCTTTAACACCTGAATTCATTAACCCGATGTTCAATTAATAGTCGTATTTTCGTTTGAAATGGTTGCAAGACTACAATAAATATGAAACTTAAAATTATAATGTACTAGTTTTTTCCGCGGCTTTGTCTGCTTGGTCAAGGAAGTTGGTCAGTGTAGTTTTAGAACAGGTATTAGATGGGTTTTTTTCGGTGTATAAATAATATCAGTCCTTTGCATCGTTTTGACGTGAAGCAAAAAGATAAACAAAAAAAACACTTTCACATTTATAATATTAAAAAAGTATGGATTAGATTTGCAAATTCAGATTATTTTACTTAAATTGAGGTAGTAAAATTTTGTAATTTTGGCTGTTGCTATAATATTAATTAATATTATAGCAACAGCACGACACAGGTAAACAAATAATGCCCATCTATACTATTATCTACATTAATGCAAACTATGCAATAAAGCTTATGTGTAGCTCTAACGCGGTTGAGTGAAACCTTCAAAAGTTATTATTAATCTTTCATTCCATCCCAGGCTAAATAATAGCTCCTATTCATTCATATGTTGGTCTCGTATTAGTATGGCTTTTTTGTTTTGTCGAATTTCAGAACACTAAGGTTCTGAATAAGCGTTTATTCAAAAAAACAGCAGTATTAATATAATATTTATTATGAACGTTCGTTCTAGTGCTAACTTAATGTAGGACTTGAACTTTGAAATCATTACTGATTTAACTTAATATTCCCAATAACGTACTTCAAAAATTTAATTGTTGCCATAGCTTTATTTAATAAATACGACCCGCGTCCGTAGCATATTTCACGCTACATTTTCGCTTGAGTGGACAGCGAAGTTTGCTGTGCTGTGTGATCATTTGAAAAGAAACAGATAATAGAATATACAAAATGTACAGGCACTTACTTGAAGGCTGCGAAGTGAGCCCCATAATTTCGATGGTCTGATTGATTAATCATTTTGGTGGTCGGATTGTGTGAGCAGTCCTCCGTAGTGCGTTGGTGGACCCACTCACTGACTGACTGCTGGCTTAAAACAGCTGTACAATGATTTATATAAAGTATATAACAAGATTTTTTGGATTATCCACTTTGACACTTCTGATTGGATTAAAGGTGCTGAGCTCACACATCGACACAGATTTATTTTGTATCATGCCTATGGATTCAAGTAATACCTACAAAATTACATTAAAGAGGGTTATTTCTTTGTTTAATGAAACCTTAAAAGAACCATTATGGTACAGTTAATAGACAGATTACAGATTAAAAAACAAAAAAATATTGGTAAGTGATTTCATGTTTTTATAAAAAATTACCTACCGTCACGTTATTAAGAATTATAATTTTAATTAAACAATGAATTGGCACATCCACACGTTATTATTATAATAAATTCTGCAAAATTGCTAAGTGCACAAATATGTGTAATTATGTAGGGTAAAGCCCTCACTTTGATTATTTTAACAACTTTTACAGTGACTGAGATGAATTGTTAAAGTAAAATAGTGTCATTGAACAAAAACAATTCAATTGAACGTCAGTACGAGTCATTCTCGCAGTTCTCCTCTCATTACAATTGTAATTCATAGTGTTAAAATATTGTGGCAGCAATCCTTAAGTACTTCTTGAAATAAAACAACACGATGACGAGAATATATATACATGTGGGTACTATATAAGAAATTTAATTGCATTTGTATCTAGTAAGATATCGTCTTTTTTTTTATTGCCTTTGTAGGCAGACGAGCATACGGCCCACCTGATGATGAGTTGTTACCGTCGCCCATGGACTTCAGCAATGCCAAGGGCAGAGCCAAGCCGCTGCCTATCGCATTAAAAGTGTACAATTTCCAAAAATATTCGAAATTGAGTTAATATGCGGAATTATTTGGTATCAACCAGTATTTTTCTCATAAATACTGTCAAAAGAGCGTAGTTTAGTTTTAGTTTTTTTTTTAGTTTACCTATGTTTTGACGACTATTAACAAAATTAATAGTTACATAATTTTATCTTACTTTAAAAGACAGTTAACGTAACTTTTAAAAAATAAAAAATAAATGTTGCAAAGATGATTAATTTTAAAAATACCACTTGTTAAACCTAAAACACTCTCCTGTAAAATTAGTAAGTTTTGAGATTATACAGTTTTAATGTGAGACGACGATATATTGACGACTTTGCGGTCGGAGCTACTAGGTGTTATTTGGTTCTGATAGAAATAACGATTTCAACACAGACACCCTCCTTATTATGAACGTGATTGTATGTCGGCTGTCCCAACTTTCAAATAAAAATGCTTAACTGCTTCGCGCTAGACATAGGCAGTGTAACAGTACCTCCTCTAAGGGCTCACGATACGCTTTGCACCAGCAAATGTAGGTTGGTGATCGCTGTTCGCTGGTATAGTCTTCAAATAACGCTGCTCACAATGTAAGTTATAACCAGTGGAAGGTAACTCAGCGCAATTAGATTTGCGGGTATGATGTTGTACCATTTAATATTATTCATCGTGGAAGTAATTCGTGTACACAAGTTAGGTACGTATTTTTTTAAATAAATTAACACCTGGCTCTAGGAACCGAACCTGATGTTCAGATATAAATTAGGTTTTTTCACTTTATGGACAGTGTCATACTCACTTTAGGTATAACATAAATAAATAATATTTAATGTGTACTTTTAATTGGTAATTAAAAATGTGCGCTTGAAATTTAGAGATCGCTCACACTTTTTAACTGAAGTCTATTTTAAAATTAGCATTATTATTTTTTATGATAACTTTAATAAAACCGAACAAAAACAAACAGTAATAATCGTCAACAAGTATAATAGACATCACAACAACCATTGGGATTTACTAAGTACAAGAGACTACACTTAACAAATATCTAATCACACGACTTATGGGTACAACATATATTATTTTCATTATTAAATATAAAAGTATTATTAAAATTTTAATTTAATTCTACTCTTCAGTCGTCTGTGACTATAGGCGTCACGTATGCTTTAGAAAATATTATATGTGTACACAGTAGTAGTACGTAATATTCTAAACACATTCATATGCCAATTCCATCCCAGTGACTAGTATTATGAGATATTGTAAATGGAACTTTTATTGTACTGTCTTGAAGAGAAAATAAACAGAAAATTAAGCTATTCTAGAAGAAGAAAAGAATATTCTAACCGGCTTAAGAAGATAGAATATTGAGATACTTTTTTGACACAGTCGTACAATAACGGAAAGCAATTCAATCCAGCAGAGAGTTCAACTAAGTCTCAAGACGAGTGGTGTCGTTATTGCGTCTACTGTGTTTGGTAGCCGTTTGACATTGTCTATCGATCGAAGCTAAAATGGTCTAGAATTTCTGAAATAGTCATAAAAACAACGTGACTTAATACTTTATAGAACTGTCAAATTACTATGACCACTCGTTACAATTCGAATATCGCTCGTGGGAGGAGACAGACTGCCCAAGACCGATGTAAATAAAAGGATTTGATTCGAGCCTTACACGCCCCAGCAGGGGGTAATAGGAAAGAAAGGTGTAGAAGAAGGAAGTGTTGTCTCTATAAAATGGGGTTAGATTACAACATTTATCTACTATTTATAAATCAATATTACCTCTTCTAACAGGTACCAAAGAATCGAAGCATAAGACTGTATATAACATTACAAACGCGAACGATAACTTATATTTTATGATGTTTTGGCACTGCATGCAAAGTAATACATAAAAAAAAGAAACGCGTGAAGGATAGGGAATTTTAGCCGCGGCGGTCTTCCACTATCTGCATTCGTTTTAGTAGCTGCAAGAATGGTTACCATACATCCTATTAATTAAACTTAATTAACCATTGATTATATTACGTGTTACGTTATTAAAATATAAGACTAAAACATTAATTGATCAACGTTAAATTATAATACTAGTATCTCAGTCACAAATAAATCATAAAAAAATATTGTAATACCATGAATGAGCTTTATCTAAATGTTCCAAATACACAGTTGCCATTTAAGTAGGTAAAATTAAGTAAACACACATTTGGCTTTTTTCATACAAGAGGTTCGAAATTTCGAACACAGAACGATACTACATTAAAATATGTAATCTAATGTAATGTAATCATTAATCCATTAACATCCAAAATGGATGCACTATTTTTAACCAAAGTTGTCTGGACTATTTCCATATTCATAAACACATAATAATATTTCATTAAAGGCTTTCTTAACATAACTTTTGTACATTTAAATATAAATATTCGATTGGGCTTTCTATGGCGTACACTCTTTAGAGTTCTGAAGCCAAAGGGTATTATTATACATATCGGAAACTTTTAATTTCGCGGTAACTATTTTTTTTTATGTCTCGATTTTATAGTAAATAGGCAGCTTATATTTTTATGTGTTTGATGTTTATTACACGTTATTTTTCCTTCATAATGGAAATAATTAAAAAATATGAATGAAAATCTGCCCTCGGGATCTGAACATCTTCACGGTCGCATACGAGTTACATTAGGCGTTGCATCTTTTAGGCCATGTCGACTTATGTACATACACTTAAGTCAATATAAGAGAGCCAAAATTATTCGCAGATTGTTGAAATTCGATTGCAAATGTATTTTATGAACCGTAGCATAATGTTGTATCTAAATTAGGAATAAAATTGGAGTGGTACGCTCTACGAATTGAATGTTTTTTTTGGTAGATATTCTATTTTCCTGCAGTCTGTCAAATTCTGTAGAGAATACATGTGAGAAAAATAGATAATTTTGAGAATAAAGTCATTATTCTTAGCATATTATGATACTTCAATTAAATTTACTAATTAATTAAATAACAAAATATTTAAACATTTTCATTTTTCACGTTAACAAGTTATTATACCCATGATTAATTATTATTGATGGTTCGTCTAACCTGTTTCGATTCCTTACAAGAGAAAATCATTTATGACAGCTCGATGTAGTCATGATTTTCATCAGAATCGGTTTCATGGCTTACAGCAGACATAGTGTCATCTAGCAATTAGCATACGTGTCGCTTGAGTCATTTGAACATATTATTATGGGTTTATTTATTTAGAGAAAATGACACCTTAATGTAACAGTACAAAGACTAATACTATGTAGATCGGATTTAGCCCATACTTAATAAATATGAACAGGAACAGAAGCCGCAAAAGACATAATTTTTCAGTATCAAAATTAAATTGCTTAGGCCCGTATCTATATAAATTTTGCAGTTATATTTTCTTTACTACTAAATTTATAGTCTAAATATTATTGGACGTAGTTAGAAGAAATACCTACTTACATTTATATCAAACGATTTAATAGTTGGTAGTGATAAATTAACCCTCCCCCTGTCCTTCGGGTGTTAAAGATTTCATAGAATATTATGTTTTTTATTTGTCAACATTACATTATATGTTCATGTAAAATAAATTTTGAACAGCATCTTACGTTCGTCATTGGGGTTAGGTACTAAGTTGGTTGCGAAGATAAGCCGTAGATCATTGAAAACTATATTCCAATTAGTTGAGCCATTTTACAGCTTAGCGTTCACAAACGCATAGACGAAGATACTGTTTCCGTTTTAAAATAAATTTTTTTGACAGTAACTAACCTAAACAGTTACATCATCTTGCATCTTTCTCAGCTTACCTTCGATGGCATATAATAAATACCCTATTAAAGTTTTTATCAAAGAAAACTGTGGTGGTTTGGACAGTTTCAAATTTTCTCTATGAATTTCAGGAGTGTAATGTTTGGGACTTGTGACTGACTTCATTCATCAAAGCGATGCAGACCTTACTTACGTAAATCCGTAGTTAACTTATATTTTTGCACAGTTAATTTTATTACAAATTTACTTTAATGAATAATTTTATTAGTGATTTTCGAATATTGTTATTTAAGATTTGAACGAATAATATTGAATTTATTGTCATACATACACAGGTGTCAGATGATAACTTTTATCGTACAATAAATATGTCTTTAGATTAGGCATTTACAAACATACAAGTGGGTATTATTGATCATTCTTGTCTTACATTTTATTGAAAACATTCAAATGACACTGTAGCAATTATTAAAATCAAGCAATGTTCTTGTATTGGTTTTTATTTTAGCTTTTAACGTTAATAGAATAATTTTTTAATCAGGTTCATTAATTATAAAATTCGCTTTTATCAGTCTTTTATAATAAGTCAACAGACTTTAGATTAGTTAAATAAAATTTTACTTGAATATTTATGTAGGTGTGTAATTAGTTTTGTATTTAATGAAAATAATAAATAATAGGATAAGGGTGTCGATTCGGTCAATTCACTAGAAAAGAACATTGTTGTATTTTGATATTGGCGTAAGTTTAAGTGTTGCTCCTTAGATAGGATTTATTTATTTAATTTTATTTTTAGGATGAACGTCAATTAATTGTCGTACAATCTGCTTATTTTTGTTTGTTATTAATTTGTAACTTGAGAACATTAACTTTATAAATGGATATATTCTATAACACTCATTACGTTGAATATTACTATACAAATAAATATACACACTTTTTACTCATTTCATTATGAAATACACCCTTATAGCCTTATAATACTGGGCCTGAAAATACATAGTATCAACAATATATATCCTCATCAGATAGGAGGGACACGTCGAAAAGTCCACAAGGCTATAAAAATTAAATGTATAATATTAATAATGGTAAATAATTTATAACGTTACTAAAATTTCAATTTGTTGTATATGTTTACCAAAAATTTTCAACATTTACAAGTTTGGCTAGTTCAATTGTCTCATACGGATGACACGTGACTTGAATTTTTATCTACGACGAAGGGGGTTCGTGTGTGATATCTTTGTCGTCTTCCTGGAATATAGTGACACAGGTATCGGCAGGATGCGGCGTAGATGGCGGACTGTTTGCAGGAGGAGGGGCACTGCACGCCCGTATCTCATTGTCCACAGACAAATGCGTCATTTCTATTGTTGTATTGTCACCTGTATCCTCCCAGCTGGTTCTATAACAGGTATGCTATTTCTTAACAACATAAAACCATAAATCTTTTTTCATTATACAAAAACGCAGTTCTACTCACCCGGATGTGCACTCTTGTATTACGTTAATGTTGTTCATACTATCTACCGGTGTAGCTGTAATTAAAAAAAAACAGTTTTAACTTCTGAGTGTCGTTGAAAAGATATGTTATCATTTCCGTGAAGTAGTTTTTAATTTTTGTATAAGGAAGCTTATAAAATCTAAAATTAATCTAATTCTCAACCTCAGGGTAATTAAATATTAATTGGTATTTACTTGCTATACAAGGAGCTAGATACCCGAAATCAAAGAGAAAAAATGGAGTATCTTAATACAAGTGGCAAACTAAATATTTGTGTTAACTAATAATTGTTGTTAGCTTATCGATTTTTGTGGTTATTATTTGAATCCAGGATATATTATTAAATCTCGCGGAAGGTAGCTGGCGACCTAATTTTCAATGCATTTATTACATTCAGCGCAGTGCAAAAGCCGCTAACAAAAAGAAAAGGACAAGTGTCTGAAGATTCTGGAATCTTTTTTTTTCTCTTTTTTTTCCTACCTAAGCTGATGGATGGCCTCGAGAGACCACATCAGCGTCACCGAGCGAGAGGACTCTATCTAACGCTCCTTATATAAAAGGCTACGCGGGCCTTCAGAATTCATATTATTGATGTTTTGTACGTGTATCACAAATACACATACACGGACAACAACAAAAAATGAAAAAGATATTACCAGATTTCGCATAAATAATTTACAGAAGTATGCAACAGGAAACTTACGGTTACGGTGCTATGGAAGTTTGATTTTAGTTTGGCAAATTTCATGATAGACGAACGCGAAAAACCCTATACGTTTTTTATGAGTGACAAAATACTGTTATCTTTTTTGATTAAGTCCACTAAGAAGCTTGATTATCTCATTCCACTTGATTAAAACAGTTTGAAGTATAAGTCAGACAGAGTGTCAGTCTATCAAAAAACAAAGTGATCCTATAAAAGGGTTCAATTTTTTTTCTCTCTGGGAACCGGAACCCCAAAAATTGAAACCGATTTTTAAATTTTGCTAGGACACAGATTTATAGATAAAGCTTTTTTTTTCTTTCCTATCTATGCTGATAGCCTTGAGAGGCTATTTCAGCTTCACCCTAACGTGTGTAGGTGGGCTCACAGGGCTCAAACCGGAGTGTTGCTAACACTGACCCAAGCAAGAGCAGTGCTTCGCAGAATCTACCACTGGATCAACCGGAGAAATTCAGTGGGCTGTGTCTATGGGTTAATTCGCTCGTCGAGCCTTTCGTCGCAAGCGACGGGTTCGACGAGGACGGTGACCGTTGCTTGTGGTGTCTAAAAGCACCGTTAATAGATCGGGAGGATCCGTAATGACGTGCTTTGGGCGACGTCGACTGTTTACCATTCGGTCTACAGGATCGGGTATGTAGTTTCCAGCGGCCACGATGAGAGGGTTCTCGTGTCGTGCCGCTTTATCGAAGTGAGCGCTAAGCTCTTTTAAAACTAACGTTGAATCGTGTCGTCCCGAAGTCGTTGCTGTCTTGCGAGAGGTCGTCTCCGAGTGTTATCGCGTACGCGGAGTGTGACGCCCGCACACGCACCGCTCCCGTGCAAGTCCAGCGCCAACGAAGACTGTGATCCACATTCCGAGTCCGCTGCACTTGCACTATAGTGGAGGCATCAGTACAATTAATTAGTCTCGAATCGAATGTCTGGATAGCTATTATAGGATAGATCAATTATTTTTTTAAAGTAATTTTAGGAAAGTTTGTACTTGGGGACTATAAGGATTTTACCTACATGAATGTAAGCTTTTTAAGGATAACTATGAGAATGTATCGACTAAAGAAAGCGGAAATGGCGTAACTTGAAAAACTCAACTTTAAACCAGAGTCATATATAATGTAATATCGTAAAAATCATTTAGCCCAAAATGCAAGTTACTGCGTTTCTACTTACTTCCGTCGGTACGTTAATGCTAGAGAATTATAGTCGGACAGGTTTATTAATATCTGGTCGGTCCGGTTTTTGTTCAGATGTTAAGGATATCCGATCTAGGTCTAACTGCTGTTGCTCATATAATACCTAAATATTTTACAATGATAACATGCATATCTTTCCGTAGTAGTGATCTCTAATGTATTTCAACTAATAAATATCTAACACTTATTTCCTTTCTTAGTTACTTATGATTCTGAACATTAATAACCGAAAAGAAATCGTATATTCGGCCGGATGTTCATGATTACGACATTTAAAAATGCCCATGGATATTTTATGAAATTTATTAAACTCTTTTACAAATAATTTTTTCAAATGCGCTTTTAGACGCTGCGGCTAGGCTGACCTTAGTTGAAAAATAAATAAATCCTTCGGGTATATTACGTTTTTCCGGATGAAAAGTATCTAATGTGTGTTACTCGGCCCTCGACAACGTGTTTGCGAAATTTCATGATGATCGGTTGAATGGTCAAGTTTCAAGACGTGAAAGCGTAACAAACAGACTGACTTTGTTGTTGAAGTTGTAAAATAAAAAAAACAATAGTATTTATTCTAATGTTTCTTTTTATCGAAATATTTATTACCATTCTAATATGAGCTTCTTTTAAATAATTGACTTAGGTCGAGACCTCGAAGAAAATACGAATAAAATAAATATCGATTAATAAAGATTTCTTATTTTTATTCTTGGATATTGTTACGAATTGCTTTTTCTCAGAAATGATGCAAACTCACACAGGTGGGTATTAAATACCCTGGGCTTGAGGGTTACTATGGATAGATATTGTACCGGCGACATTGACATTATGGATGTGATAATGTCAATAACAAAATGGACTCCGATAATCTCTGAACACTTGGTAACTCGTATGCCCATATGTGGAAATAAAAAACAAAAATAACATTATGTAACTAAACCATAGATTGTTTACCTGACTGCAGACTGTGGCGGTTCGTCTACGGAGAGCGCGTAGCGGCGTAGAGGACGCCGTAGAGCGCTCACTGGTAGAGCGGCGCGGGTGCTACCAATACGCAAATCTGGCGCTGATCCGAAACGCGCCTTTCCTTTACCTCTCTCATCAGCTGCGTTTCTGTGCCATAGCCCATATGCATACTCACTGCCCTACGCATCAACAAGCCTGCGATTCATGAATAGCGGCTACCGAATAGTATTAATTATGAGATATAAACATACCTACATAATATTTGGTACTTATGTGATATAGTTATAATGTGTTGTGATGCAACTAAATTCAAATGCTCGCAGTATGCAGGGTGGGTAAATGATTGATATGAGAAGGCGTATAAGGTATAATTAACGACAAGGTACGTACAATTATCTCATTCATTGCTAAAGCATCTAATTTTTAACATTGAGTTTTTGGGAAATATATGTATCAGTACAGTTTTATTTTGGTCGTTTAATAAATGTACCTGGTATGTGATGATGGTCTGTGTCTAAATGGTGGCAGCGGTGCTAGAGGCAATGCGTGTGGCAAGGGAAGCACATGTGGCAGGCGGTAGACTCCGAGCTGGTCGAGTCGCGCGGGTGCTGTACAAGGCGGACCCCGTCTAGGTATAGGGCGCGGCAGTGTTTGTGGTCTCGCTGGTGTTACTTTCGCTGCACTGTCGCGAGCTTCAAATGTCATCACGCAGGCTGCCACCACAATAAAGCCTGGAATAGTCAAGTTTTCAAATTTAAATAGTTAGATACATTGGCAGGCTTGGAGGAGATAGGGATTTTGCTGCGCGACCGAACTGAAAAAAATGTGATAGTAAAAACCGTAAGAAAAAGTCCGTGGAATAAGGCCTTGTTTTCCGCACAGCGATATCTCACAGAGCGATTTTTTTCTCGTAATTCTTTTTTTTTATTTTTTATATGCAACTTCGTTCCTATCCGGTGTCCCACGACACCACACATTTTTTAATTTATTTATTGCTTGGAGGAATGGACGAGCTCACGGCCCACCTCGTGTTAAGAGGTCACCGGAGTCCATAGACATCAACAAACTAAAATTGAGACATGAGTTCTAAGTCTCGATTTTTACAGTACAGCGGCAGCTCCACCCTTCAAACCGAAACGCATTGTTGTTTCACGGCAGAAATAGGAAGGGTGGTGGCACCTACCCGTGCGGGCTCACAAGAGGCCTTATCACTTAGTATAATTACGCAAATTATAATCTTTGCTGGTTTGATATTTCTTAAACGATGTTATTCCTTCATCGTAAGGAAATTATTCGGGAACATATGTATTTCACTAGAACAAATGTTAGCTGCTTGCGGAATTCGAGCACCGTTAGAGTCGCATCGCTCACTAGTTACAAATTCACCGGGCGTCTTATCCCGCAGGTCACGACGCTATCGACTTCATTTATTAGAATAGAAAGGAGGTCTTGTGAGTCTACACACAGTCTAGTCTTTATTTCTGCCGCACCACAATTATGCTTACCGGTTTGAAATGTGGAACATCCGTTGAAAAAACAATTGAGACTTCAACCTCCATTTCTTAAAATTAGTGGCAACGTTTACGTTCCGGTACTTGTTAATTAATTACTATTGGACGATCCTAGAATCTAATCCCCGTTTAAAAATAATTTATATAATAAAAAATATATATATTATATTATAAAATAAAAAATAATTTTGGAGATAACCAGTTTATCCAGTAATGATTATAGCGTCGAAATATCGGGAATTCTTTAAAAATAAATTCAAAAAAGTATTTGGAACTGCATAAAGGTCAAAGTGGCACACCTCCAAATCCCATCACGATTGGCCCAGCGNTAATCCCCGCTTAAAAATAATTTATATAATAAAAAATATATATATTATATTATAAAATAAAAAATAATTTTGGAGATAACCAGTTTATCCAGTAATGATTATAGCGTCGAAATATCGGGAATTCTTTAAAAATAAATTCAAAAAAGTATTTGGAACTGCATAAAGGTCAAAGTGGCACACCTCCAAATCCCATCACGATTGGCCCAGCGTAGGACAAATTATTGAGATGAAAACCTCGAGCTTCATCTTTGACGGACACGGTAGCGTTACCACGTATCTCTTCAGCTACAGACAACGTATCTGCGTAATAACCTGAAATCAAACAGACTGAATATATGGCAAAATATTTTATGACCTTCTTCATTTAGGATTTTTTTTAAACTAATAAGATATTAGTAACTGTTGTTGTCACCAAATATTTGTTTTTCGTGTGGTTTTAGTTTTATCTAACAAATAATATCGACAAATATTAAATTACAGATTTGACGGTATTTGAGGTACATTTAAACTTATTAGTCTTCATTTACAGTTCCATTGTATTTTCAAATTTACAATGGCATATTTCAAGATTGGATCAAATGAAGTATTCGCATTGAAAATGTAACCTAAAAGCCGATATATGTTCTGTGAATGAATAAACACAACATATGTACATTGTGCACAAAGTTCCATCAAGTTGTGTATCCGGAGGATTGAAGTCGGAAACGTCTGTGGAAACATGTGACATTTGGACAGGAGGAAATGTCTTTCACTTGGCCCTCCGTCACGATCATAAAACGTACCTGATCCATACACTATGTTTATTCTGATCGTACTATATTTTGAACACAAAAGATGTCAATTTGCAGAACCTAGTAACGAACGTCTGTTTCAGGTCGTATATTGGTACATATTTATATACGTTAATCAGCAGATAAGTCCATATTCCAAATTTCAAACGGGTACGGGTGAAAATACTATGTAATTGTATAACGGCCATCTGGTGTAGTGGTAAGTGACATGGTCACTACACAAGGGGGTCGCGGGTTCGAATCCCGCCAAGGGAAGATATTTGTATGATAAATATAAATGTCTTTTCCAGGGTTATGGATGTATATTAAATATATGTATGTGTATAATAAAAATCTTATATTTATCTCCGTTATCTGGTACCTGTAACACAAGTTCTTTACGAACTTATCACGGGAGCAGTTAACGTGGCGTGATTGTTAGTAAAAAAAATTAAAAAAAATGAATTAATAAGTAGCTCGAGTTTACCTTTATCTGTTAGGCTGTTAATAAAGAATCAGTTTCCCACAGGAACAATTCAACCTAAAGTCTAACTAAATCTTGTAAGCTTTTACTTAGTTACGATTTATAGCTGGTATTCATGTAGCTTCATGTAGTTAGTCCCTCACGCTTATACTAAAAGCGTATTAAAAATAAATGTCATACCTATAAATCAAGCATTTATTGACATGTTCTTTATAATTTAGCAGTATACATAGACTAAGTTCAGCATGTATACTATTATCTCTTAAGATGTTTTGCTGCGTGAAATCACATCACAGCTTTAAAATAATTTGCTATACGAAGTAATAATTTCAGAAAGTCTAGCTATATATTCGTGACCGATACTCCGTAAGAACCTTATTGTTCGCATTTTATTTGTTTTTACAGTGTGTGATTTCTTTAATTGGCAACTCTGATTGTTACTTGCACATTTAACAGGGCTTACAACAAGAGGGTCGCACAGGGTTTATTTCTTTCTTAATGTTTTAGGCGAATTCTCGTGATATTTTTTTATTGTAATAAATTTTAATGTTTCGAATCATATTTAAGCGACGCTATATCATTGATCATTTAAATATAATTATCAAATGTTTATCATTATTAATTAAAATATTTTTACGTCAGAAATATGAATTACCTTATTTGTTCTGGTTTAAAATTTTTATGTCATTAGTTTTTTGTGTGTCGCTACGTAAATTTATACAAACCAATTACGGCCATAGCTCCACCAAGCAGCATCAACAGCAACCCAGCAGATAGTGCACGACAAGCATGCCAAAGGCACTGTGAGCTCATCTTACCACGCACTACCTGCATTAAACAAAAAATTAAAAAACAATTACATACAATAAATAAAACACAACACGCATAACGAGTTTGAATATTGCAAAAGAATTAATATTCGTTTAATAGACCAAGTCAATTATACTTTTATTAGTTGTATATTTTAATAAGATTATTTGTTGCATATTAGAGTGAACAACTTGCTCTACTTTTATTAGATTCAAATATTGTCACATTTTATTGATCTCTGTCCTACAGACACTTCCCACGTTTTGTATCGAGCAATCAAGGGGAGTACATTTATAATTTTATTACTACTAATAAAAGTTTTGATATAAAAATAAGATAAAGGTTCGTTTTATTGATAATATAATGATCATCGAATCATTTGTGCAACAAGTTTTCGAACAACTGTTGAATTCCAGGTCCCAGAAGCTAGACTCCTGGACCTATTATAAAACATAGTTTAGATTCTTAGTATTGAAAATATTAGGTGTGATCTTATAGTTCGTGATTCGACAATGTGTTTATGTGCTCGGGTTAATTACGTGAAGTTATGTACGTCGCGGTACCTGGACATTCCAGGTGGCACCGGAGGCGGGGTGAGCACGCCGCAAGGGGCCCGTGACGCTACGCGCGCGCCTCATGACTACCGTGCTTCACTAGATGAGCTCTCGTTGTTAATATGCGCGCGCACACAGCCTCTCTGCTCCAGGCCACCTGCGTCCTAATTTTGTTGACAAGGACCGTGTCGTACCGTACTCGGAAAAATAAACCCACAATGGCAACATTAGGCTCCATTATACGTATTCCTATTTCGTTGTAAATCATTAATTGAATATGAAACTCATTCATCATTCTATTATTAGACACTTTTGCGCTTTGAGATTGCTTTTATTTTATGTACCTACTATATTAAAGACAAACTAGTATTTTTTTATAAAGAATATATAATTTGAAGTTTTGAATATTTTTACTATTCATCTCGTGGACACATTGATAACCTATTTCGAAAACCGTTTTTCAGAATAATATTCTAAAAAATAAATATTACGAAATGAGCATGGAGATGTTGTATTTTCTTCGGCTTTCGCAAGTCGCAGACATTACGGTGCTTTTACGGTTTAATCTCGTATTTTTACTTTGGAACAGACGAATGACGTTTTAGTGACTATGATAACTGTATAGAATTCGTAACGATGAAAACAACATTAAATAATGACAATAAAAAATGCGAGGTTAAACCGTAAAATTAGATTATGGAGACAATATGTAAGTGGCTAAGATTTGTAGTCGAGTACGCAGCCCCCTTGATTTTATCTTGTTACGGGAGCTCATAGACTTAATTACAATATGACGCGCCGTCTCGCTTGTTCCCGGTATGAAATCCATAAGCTTCTAACTGTTGTCAGCTTAAACATAAAATCTGTAACTGATTTGTTACATAGAATTAATGTCTCAAACTACAAAACCGATGACAGGTGCAATAATAAAGTGTCTATCATCCGTGTATATGTATATATGTAATTTTTATTTTTTGCTAATACGAATTTAATAATTCACGAAGCTTTAGTCATAAATCATTAGTTTGTCATAAATAAACAAATTTTGAAAATAAATGGTGTTTATTCTATTTTTTGGAAGAAAAAGTTACCATAAAAAACAAAAGAGAATGTTAATGAAATGTTACATAAAGTGAATATATAGGTACATATACATATTTTGAGGTGTTCATGATTTCGGTCATTAGTATAACTATATATTAATAACGAAAAAGAATGCAAGTAATGCAACTAGTTTTTGTCGCGAAAACTCATGAGAAAATCGTCATGAAAAATTCAAATGTATTTTATGGCTATGAAATTGTCGTGGTCTAAAGGATAAGCGGCCGGTAAACTCATATCAATGCCTATATACTACCTAGTTTGTGTGTATTATCTATAGCTACTACGGCGGTTTTCCAATTTTGCAGGCATACACCATTTTTTCTGAAAAAATACGTATTTAATACATGCTCACGAAAAATTCGCACCATGACGGACATTGTGTCATAAAAAATAAGCTTGTGAATTTGCGTAATCGGTAATGGTTGAGTGTACGTACGGAAGCAGGTATAATAATACCCTGCCTATTTCTACTGCGAAGTAGTCAACCGTTCCAGTTCGAAGGATTTGACAGCATTTATACAAAAGTATACAGCGAGATCGTACATCTACTTACACAATAAAATAACTGTCTTAGTCAAGCATGAACTTAGCTTAAATGAATAGTGTTCGTTTACTTTAGACAGTTTAAAGTAAAAAAATATATTCTCCATATTTTGTAACGCGGGGACATATGCTTTATACCAAAACATAAATTGAAAGGTTGTAACAGATGAATAAAAATAGTAAGAAAAGAGCGAACACCACACTCGCATAAGTCATGATGGGGCGAAGGCAGATTTTGTATTGTTTATCACCTTATTACAGAAATGCAGCGTGAGCGGTCTCGGTGCAATTGCGGACAAATTTTGCATGGGATGGAAAGTGATAAATTTATCGAGGATAACTTCTAGATATTTAACACCGGTCGGTGGCCACGGTACGGCAGGGTGAAGAGTTTTCCTATCTTTAAGGTTTGTTAACAGAAGGCAGACTCCTCGTTATTAATCAATTAATTACATAGCATTAGTTAGCGTAATTTTAATTAAGCAAGGTCCCTTCTAATTGCCAATTTCATTATGTATAACACATTGTTCATTGCTTTTGATACATCAACAATCAAACTGGTTTAGTCTTATAAACTATTTGGCTTAGTAAAATATACATAATCATATTCAGTGATTCTTGACATTTACAAAATAATATGTACAAGGAAAATCAGCAGAAGTCATAAATTCTACGAAATCCCTTACGAATTTGATTTATGTTAGGTTAGGTTAGCGTTTTTATGAACATAAACTTCGAGTTTGAAAACAAAAAGGATCGAGATTTATTACGTGTTAGCTAGTTCAATGCTCAAGAGACTCATAAGTGTATGTGTATTAAGGAAAATGAAAATTTACTACTATTATGAAAACTTTGACTCTGCTCTACTTGTAGTGATTTATAATATCTGCATATAGTGAAAATAGTTACTTCCTCTGATTCAGATGCTTTGCATTTTTACTGCTGCTCAAGTTTATTTCATTGATCATTAAAACGTTAATTAGAAGCCAAAAATTAAAAATATATATATATGTTTAATTAAATAATTAAGTAGGTATATTTTTTATTTATCATGTACAGATTGAATTAATGTTATTAAATGTAGTTTAACCGAACGATGTGTCCAGTAAGTGTTAGAAGCACATCGGCTGGTCGTTCGGTTCGGAGAAGCATGGAGAGGTTATAAGGGATGGTGTGGGGTGGGTCCACACGTGGAGCTCGGAGCGCCGGCGCGGCCCGGCCGTCCGGGCGCTCGTCGCTCGGCTGGGCTCCGACAGCGCGGCATTCCCCAGCCGGTAGTCGGCCGTCACGCTATGCGTGTCAATACGCGAGAGACCGCGCGTATCGCGGTTCGCCGCTTACTGGTTATTAAGCCCCGGGCTCACCGTGAGAGCCTCGTTGTTAGCTTTGAGCTACGTTAAAAAGCTCTCGCTTTATGTTGGCAAGTACCAGGCGAGAGGCGGGCAGTCAGGTGGTGTCGCGCAGGTGCGGCCCGCACTCGACCTGGAGCCGCATTTGCAGCGCGCCGAGCCGCGGCCACCACGCGGCGGGCGGCCTCTCGCCTCATCGCGCTCATGGAGCCACCGTGGGAGCTGGAACTCGAACTGCGACGGCACATCGAAAATTGCGCTTGTACCTGCGACCACATGGGCTACGGGAACTATATGGACTACCAGATTGCGCCTGCGGCGCACGCCTGTCTGTGCCGTGCAATTACTTCGCCGCACGCCCACGTACGTGTTGCATTCAGCTAGCGTCTGACGCATCAGCCCTCATCCTCGCATGACCCATCACCTGATTGGTCCATTAGGGACAAATTCCAAACAAACGAGCTCATTCTTGTAGTGTTTGCATCAACAGCATCTTGATTCTTGTGAAATTGTGTTTTCGTTGTGACCTTATGCTATTTAGTACCGTAATGTATTGTGCAATAACTTTTGTTGATTATACTTTAAAGATAATTGTTTGCGAAGTTAACTTTGTTATACATTTATTTGTTAATAAAATATTCATATTATAGCTGAATTTTGTTAACATGAACTTTTTATATTTATTTTGCACTATTATATATAAGTTTCTTTAATGAAGTAGTACCTGCCTTATTTTGTTAATATTTCTATTTAATACTTATTACATCATTGCTCTATATCTCCGCCAATGACACAGATATAGAAAAATTTATCAATGGTGTAATTTAAACCAATATCAAAATTTCATCAAGTAAGAAGCCTTTACAATAAAATAGAAGTATTACTTTTAGGTATTTAATAGAATAATTATCATTTTACAAATGCTGTTAATGATGAATTATTCATCTTAATCAATAAGATTACTTACGTGTCGGTAAATAAAATTGTATCAACATTGTTTGTCTCTGATTTCGAATAGAAGGGGAACACGCACTTTTAACATTTTTCTTGATCTGTTTGTTTTCCTGGGCTAATCTCAAAAATAACTGAACTGATTTCGAAATTTTCGTTGTCAGGTAGAAATTTTCACAAATAATAGGTACTTAATCCTTAAAATATGCATCGTGCAGTGGGAGTCCTTAAATATTGACTAGTGCTTATTTATTTTCAAATACAACTATAACGCGGGTGTTATCACGGCATCTCAAGACCATTAATATTGTAGACCTTTAAAACGTTTTTCAATACGATTACATACGATGTGGTCGTGATCAAGCTGTAAATAGCCAAACGTCAGCCAAAAATTAGTCTTTTATTTGATCATTCATTAATATAATAGTATATTTCGGACATGTTAATCAAGTTTTTGGGAGAAAATGATCAAAAATAGGTATAACCACGATCTCAATATTTTGAAATTCAGCTTACTGTTTCTTTAAAGATATAATGAATCCTCAGAGTATTAATTGCTTATTATATTCTGTAGACACATCTATTTATAGCATATCACAGTATGTTCATGGTAGGGCGTATTAAAAGCCCTCACGAGGAGGTAGCATACTGCCTATTTCTATGACGAAACAGTCACGAGTCCCAGTTTGAAGTGTGGGTTAGCCGCCAAAATTGTGACTAGCTTCATATCTCAAGATTGGTGGCGGCGTTCACGTTGCTTTCCAGGTGGATCGCAAGCACGTTCACTTATCAACGTTGTAGTTTTGTTAGACATTACGTGTCTAGCAATAGATAATAGGTAGGTATATAAATTTGTATAATATTCAATCACTATTCTACTCGCCACAAATGTGAGGAAGTGCATTTATATTTAGTAAAAAACAGTTGGAGTTTATCTTATAAATATAAAACAAAAATATTACGAGTATTCCAACAGTGTACTACCAAAATATATATTAAACTTACAACAAATTATTAAACAGAACAATTGTATCCTATAGATAGAGATTGTTGACTAATCGTCTAGAGTCAGATTTTTAAATACAATTTAATTCGAGTGTACAATATGTATTTATTACATGAAAAACAAGAATGGATTCGTGACCTTGAATTTAGGGCTGTGACACGGTATCGGGAATAGTGTGGTACTACGAAACGATTCGCGTAACGTTTTCGTGAAGCTTTTCTTTTTTACTACGATTTTATTAACTGTTTATTTGTCTTTGATGTTAAAGATCGATGACAATACAATAATTTATTACTTTGGTTTAATTTCTTGACATTGTGCTCTTAAATCGTGCTTTCTTAATTAAATAACTACAATTTTTTATTAAAATGTATGTCATTAAAAATCTTGGCATCATAAATATGAGATCGGATGATCTTTTTTTTACAAAAACCCTTGTATTGCAGATTCGTAGCTTGTGTTTTTTTTTTCTTTTTCGTCGAATCTCAACCTCTTAACCTGTACCGGCTGATATCATCAATATATTCAATATATCGAAAAAAATATACTAGTTAGATGTTTTAGGGACTATTACTGAGTTCAAGGACAGACAAAAATAAAAATTAAAACATAGTAAACTGCATTCATATAGGTATTTCGCTTGAACACATATTCCACATTTTATAAAATATTTATTATAATATTAACATGGTTCTCAGAGGAATGTAAATAAATATTTACGTATAAATATTGTACCAGGTATTCGTTTTAAATAAAACGTATTGTTTAATAAAACGTGTTGACGTAAAAATGTAAACGCATTTAAAATGATTATAATCATCAATTAGGAAAATTGTCACAACAATGTTTAAAAATGAAGCTTAAACATTTCGGTAATACGAGATAATTTTGGAAAGCGTCAAAACGTGTAGACATTTGTTACACATACCATTTATTTTTTATTTGTGAACATTAGGTCGAGAGGCCATAAAATTTTACACGTGTGAGCTCATTCCGGTTCCACCCTCCGTCTCTACATCTCAATTCAGCAGACCCTCGACTTTATAACACGAAACTGATTTACGGGGGTGTTCGTTTTTATCAATTTACTAGTTCTAGTGGTCGCCCGGTAGTCGAAATTCGATTATAATTATTAATTTAAATTATAAGTTTGAACATTATTATGATTCTGTTGTCAAAGACTTTACTTCTTTAATCACAGATTTCGCTAAGGCTACACTATAGACCAATAATATTAAAGAAATCTATATATTAATACGTGAAGCAAAAACTTTGTATCCCTTTTTACGAAAATTGCGCGAACGGAGGAGTATGAAATTTACCACACTTATAGAGAAGAAGTGCACAATGCTAATATTTTTTTTAAATAATGCATAAAAGATACGTTAAATCAATAAAGAAAACATTACATACACTACATACCATGTATTTGACGCACACACGCATGCATACTATTAATTGTCAAACTTTTGTTCTTGACGTCTGTGGTCAAATTGAGAATAGATTAAAATTAAATATTGTTTGTCTTTATTAATATTTTTTATAGTGTAGCCTTGGTGAAATTTGTGATTATAGAAGTATAAAATACAATCATAATAGTGTACAAACTTATTATACAATTCCAATTAATTATAGTCGAATTTCGACTACTGCGGGACCTCTAGTCTATATTAATCTATTCTCAACTTGAGCACAGACTTTAACAATAAACAAAATATAATAGTCTATATGCGTGTGTGTGTCAAATACATGTTAGTATGTGTAATGTTTTCTTTATTGGCCCGCCCCTGGCATTTCTGAAGTCCATGGGCGACGGTAAACACTCACCATCACGTGAGCCGTATGCTACAAGGACAATAAAAAAATCTATTTAGATACACGATCGTTTGTCTGGTGTGGTTTTGACTATGACAAACAGATGTCAGCCCCGGTAACCGCTCAACACCAGGTGGGCCGTGAGCTCTTTCATTGAAGCAGTAAAAAGCCTCATCTTGCATAGTTGATATATTCGGCGTCGGCTTAGTCTCGGTGGGTGCTGAGTCAGCCTTGATTAGCTCCAGACTAATGAGATAATAAATAATAATAACTAATCGACTACAAGCGAGATTTATCATGACATCTTTTCTGTACTCAGGGCAGGATCCTAAGTTGGTAACTCCTAATTAATTTGTATTGCCATTAAGGCAGATGAGTATACAGTCCACCTGATGGTAAGTAGTCACCGTCGTTACGAGGGGGGGGCACAGCTACTACCGTATCAGATTTGAGAGTACGAGTTAAAGGGTAGTAAGACCATAGGGAGGGCGCCAGTCCTTCTAAGAAATCAGACCATCTGGCAACTTGGACTTCGGCGATGCGAGATTTTACGTCGCGTTATAGGGCACGCACTCGAATACGATTTGCCCCGGTAGGATACCTATCGTGGGCGCGTATCGAGGCGTTTTTAGCTCTAAGGAGTTCCCTAACATCGTCGGGCAATTTGAAGCGGTGAAGGAAGTCCTCCGCTACAACTTGCTTCGATGACCTATCTAATGTCGAGGTGACTTTACGATGTCTATGGCTTCAGCGGTATTCTGTGGGGATGGGATAGAGCTTGGGCTGAACGAGAGCGACGGTGGAAAAGATTCAGCCAGGCTGGTGCCCAACGTGTATCAATCCACAACAGTTCTGATTCGTGACGGGTACAGAATCAGAAGCGTCACAGACTGCTTTAAGCCTTTCGGTTTACGGAGAGAGTTCGATTCTCTCTGAGTTTTGCCCCGTTTGTTTTATGACGAGTGCTTTGAAGACTTGTCTTAAATATGATTCCTCCGTTTTATTTTTTACCACCAAATCACTCATAATCGGAGCAGAGCTATTCCATTCTATCTGCAGCTGCTACGTTCATCGACATTGCATTTCCAGAGATCATTTTTGCAATGTATCACCCAGCTCTAAAATAAACTACCCTCCATGGTGTTTTTCGAATGCTATGACATGTTTTCCTTCCATGAAGCTTCCGAAGAGTATTCAATGGTAGGTAGTTACTTTTTTTTTATTGCCCTTGTAGGCAGACGAGCATACGGCCCACCTGATGGTGAGTTACCGTCGCCCATGGACTTCAGCAATGCCAGGAGCAGAGCCAAGCTGCTGCCTACCTACTTGATTGTGCCCCTGGCATTGATGACGTCCATGAGCGACGCTAACCACTTACCATTACGTGAGCCGCATGCTCATCTGTCTGCAATGGACTAAAAAGCGTTGACGTTATTTAAACTAATACTAATTAGTTTGTACTAACTACTCGTAGCGTTAATAATATAAATGAAATATGTAGATAAAAAATAAAATGATGTGTTTTCGGTATTTTTTCCTTTAACGTAACAGGCCGACTTTTTTTATAGTTTACGAATTGAAGAGTGACATA